AGTGGGAGGGGGGTTAAGAGGAGAGTGGGGGAGGGAAGGTATATTAATGGCACTATTGGATAAACCTATTAGAAATAACTTTTAAAGTTAAGAAAGAAATTTTGGTTGATTTATAAAAAAAAATCGGTGCCTAGTTTAGTAGATTTAAAGAAAAGAAATATTGATAATTAAAGACCAAAATTAACTTAGGATAAATTTTGAAAGAACTGATGAATTTTATCATTATTTTAGTTTTCTACGATCCTCTGCCCTTGTATCACTCTGCCGGAGGAGTGGTTGGTATTGGACTCATGATGTGTTTCGGAGCCACAGTTGTTCTTCGACAAAAGTTCTCAGTTAGAAACTTCTGGAAGGATTGCATCAAGTATAATTGCAATGTAAGTAATACAGATAATATGCTAGAAATTCAGGGAGCTTCTTGCCACTCTCTCAAATCCTTATTCCGGAGCTATTTAAATAGGTTCCTGCCAGGACGCACACAAAAATTGGATTGGGACATATTCGGTTCAGCCGTTTCGAAGTTTTTAGCTTGAATAACCTCTTTGTGTAAAGAAACTGAGTTTTGCCAAAAATTTAAATTTTCTAATCCCTATAAGTTTGCAACCTGAGGGTGTTTAATTTAGATATTTCAAACTTAGACTATTCGATTTAACAGTATTCATTGTTAGAAATATAAAGAAACATTGAGTTGCAAAGATAAAGGGATTAGGAAATCTGAGTGTGTGACAAAGACGGATTTCCTTTGTAAATATCGGAGGGGGGGGGGGGGGGGTAGTGAAATTCTTTACAGACAGGAAATATTTCGCAGTAATTTAATTAAAACAATTAATTACTTGAGCGAACATTTTTGTTTCACATTGTAAGTTATAAAGATATCAATAAAAGCGGTAATTTCTGGATGTTTTTAAAATTCCTACGAAATTAGTCCAAATTAGTCTCAGTTTTTTTTTGTAAAAATCAGCCAAATCTTTTATTTCTTCTTCCTCTGTCAGATAGAATACTTTTTTAGTTCCGAAATATCTATTATAAGATTAAAGATTCATTCATTAACAAGTTCATAACGAGGAAATATTCTTGAATATTAAAAAAACCTGCGGCCGAATTTAAAGAATTTGAGCGGCGGTTTAAATTTAAGCCGCGGTTTAAATATGGTTGGTTCCACTTAAAATTGTATCAAATGTTTCAAGATTTAAACCGGCGCTTAATTTAAACCGGGTTTTGGCGGATTTAAACCGCGGCTTAAATTCTTTAAATTCCATCTCAGATTTGATAAATTTTGAATTTAATCAGGGAGCCCAGTATATCGGAGAGATATGTCGATACTTACTCTCCGTCCCAGAGTCCCCAGAGGAGAGAAACCATAGAGTTGAAATCATGTTTGGGAATGGACTTAGACCTCAAATCTGGCAGCAATTTGTAGACAGGTCATTTTGAAGTTTCTGTAGTCCAGCAGTTCATTTTAGTTGGCATTTAGTAATTACCATAGTCCTCACTTCAGAAGTCCGATAGTCCATTAGTAGTAGTATAGTAATTCTGTAGTAGCTACTATTGCTTTGTAGTCCTGTTTCTATAGTCCAGTAGTTCTTTAATAGTTTCTATAGTCCAGTAGTTTTTAAATACAGTAGTCCTAATAATTGTTAACTTTTGTATTTTAGTCCAGAAGTCTTTGTATTTTAGTCGAGCAGTTATATAGTAATTTCTAAAGTTTACTAGTAGAGTCCTTTCTTTGTTACTATTATCCTGAAGGTTTTTAATTGCTCCCAGAAGTCCTTTAAAAGTTACTTTAACCTTCAGCTTTTTTGTAGTCACTGTTCTACTGTTCTTGTGTCACATAGAATAATCTAAAATCCTTAACTTCAGGCAAAAAGATATTTTTCAATTCGATTTTATCCCAAGGTTCGGAGTTAAATACATCGGAGAATTCTACGGAGCGACGGAGGGTAACTCTAACGTCCTGAACATAGACAGTAAACCCGGAAGTGTTGGTTTCACATCCGTTCTCTTCCCGTCCGTATATCCGGTCTCAATCATCCGGGTTGACCAGGAAGGGAATCCGGTGAGAGATGAACGTGGCCTGTGTATCCGGTGTAACCCTGGAGAACCGGGGGAATTTGTCGGAAAAATTATAAAAGGTAAAATTAAAGAGATTGTAGAATTTATTTGAATGGACCTTCCATTTATATATTGGCAAATTCAATTCACAACGGGGCCTTTAAGGGCTTTGTCTGATTAATAATGAATGAGTTATCCGTGTTTTTCTCCACAAAAATTGATTATTTTCAGTTATGGTTTCTCTGATCAAGTGATTTGTGAATTTAATCTACAGAAACATCGGAGGAAATCGTTAGAATCAAATAATTTTTAAGCTTAATAAGCGACGATGTTGTCCACATTTCTGATTTAAAGGGTACCGTTGTGATTCGGACATAGAGCTTTACTTAAACAGAGGCTGACTTGAATTTACAAAATAGTTCTGTAATAACTTTTAGAGTTTATCTACTTAAATCTATTATTTGTTAACAGATACTTGCCATGAGAAAAATGCTTGGTAGATTCCCGGGTATTTGTCATCTTCATATTTGGTTTAAATATTCCATATCCTGCACATACAAATATTATAATCACAAGCAAAAAAATTGTAAGTTAGGATTACAAATTTCAGGAAGGAATTGAGTCTTTGCCACAAACTTTAATTTCTTTATTTCTATGTCTTTACAACCTGATGGTAAAATTATTTTTTGATCTAACAGAATTTATAGCTTAAAATATCTAAGGTTACGACATTGGGTTGCAAGATATAGGGATTAGAAAATCAGAGTTTGTGGCAAAGACTCAATTCCTTAGATTTATACAAATTAAGTTTCGATGAACTTTAGAACCTTAACTTAACCCTACTTAGCCGGTCAGTCCCTTTAAGAAACATTATAAAACTGAAATGAAAAAGTAAATTTTGTGAACATAAAATACATAAATATGAATTTTTATCTAATATAAACAAACAGTATATATACTTTATTGCAACCCAGATACAAACTTGAATTCATTAGATATTCTACAGTGGTTGGCGTTTATATCAATACAATGAAGACGACTTTTCTATCTTTTTTGTTTTCCAATAAACTTTTTTCAAATTACAAGATTACAAGTATACAAAAAGAAGCTGTTTATTGACACCTTCTATTTGTTTCCGAGTTTATGTGTTAAAAAACTTGGTAGGCATAACAAAATTTAAATCAAAAGTCGTCTCATTGTATTGATATATACAAAGATGATAGTACTTAAAAGGGGTTATATTCACAAATTTATGAAAGGGGGTATAGGTTGAATTATTATGAAAAGTTTTTGCAAAGAGTGTGATAGAAAAATTAACTAGATCTTAAAATTCACTTAGATTGTTTCCGGTCGTTTTTAACTCTGTAATTGAAACAAATCAATTCATATTCTAACCTAAACCCATTAAGAGAAGACAAGGATTTTTTTACAGTTTACTTTGACAGATCGGGCAGCTCAGGGACTATAGTTACTGTAAGCAAGCCTTGGTTTTCCTGTACATACAGGACAAATGGCCGGGACTGATCATTATTTATAAATTCATTTTGTTTACATAAAAACTAGTTCTCTAGCTGTCCCATCACGTCAGAGCAGAGGACACTAAACCTTTTCTTATTTCTACATCTCCTTGGCTGAATTTATCTAAAGTAATATTTTTAAGGACATCCATCCCGAGGGTTTGATGGTTACGTGGATAAAAAGGCTACAGAGAACAAAATTGTACACTCCGTCCTGAGACATGGAGACATGTACTGCAAATCCGGGGATTTACTGTACGCAGACGAGTTCGGATGGATGTACTTCATGGATAGAATGGGAGATACATACAGGTCTAAACTTTTTTAAAGTATAATGCATTCTTTTTTAAACTCTTTAAGGAAAAGTTTCCCTCATTTCTGAAATTAGATTACAATAAACTTTAAAACAAAAAATCATGAATGAAAAATCCTTAAATTACTTTCGAGAAATTTTTATTGGTAAGTAATTCGAGTTTTTTATTTCTATGCTTTGAAGGCTCTATTACCATTTGCTTGGTGATCATTTTCTCATTTACTCTAGGGACTATTACTATTCGATTGTTTAAAGGGACTGTGAGCGTAATTTCAAGTGAACCTCCCATGCATGAAGATGGCAATTCCCGATTTACTACAGTACCCTTGAAACCTTAATCAGATCTTAAATGTGGAAGATAACGTCGTTTTTCTGAATTGAAAAGTTTTGAATTCTGAAATTTCCCAATTTCTTCTTAAATGCAATTAAATACGTAAGGCAAAGAAACTGCAAATGAAAATGAACTGTTCAAAGAAACAAAAACATGGATATCTCATTCACACTTGATCAGACAAAGCTTTTAAGGGTACCGTTATATATATCGGGGATTGCTATCCATGGAGGGTCACATCCAATTACGCGTACAGTCCCTTTAATACACTCTGTTTTCAGAAAGAAAAAAACCTGTAAGGTCTTCATGTGGGATATTTTGCTATCTACTCTAATGCATATCTTGATACATAACCAAGGATCAAATGCACTTGCTGTTTACAAAAATAGATTCAAGAAATATCTGGTTTCGCTAGAAATATTTGACGCAATTAAAACTGGTTTCGAAGCAAATATTTGAAATATGTCGAGATTATCAAAGCTCTAGGTAGGACTAGGAGTGGTTCACAAGCCAGCTGTTGAGAAATATTTATTATACAACACACAAAATTGCATTCTTCAATGCGTAATCAGCATTTTAGCCGCGGGGGATTATTTCTAGAACATTCTTCTTGCTTTTTACATGAGAACATTTTACATGAGAACATTTTACATCAGAACATTTTACATCAGAACATTTTACATCAGAACATTTTACATGAGCACATTTTACATGAGAACATTTTATATGAGCACATTTTACATGAGAACATTTTACATGAGAACATTTTACATGAGAACATTTTACATGAGAACATTTTACATGAGAACAACTAAGTAATTATTTCTAATTATGAAAACCCTATTTTAAAACTGGATTAACTTGTTTACTTATAAAATCTTAACAAGATTTGTGCCTAACTAGACCTGTTCCTAATTAGACCTGTTCCTAACTAGACCTGTTCCTAACTAGACCTGTTCCTAACTAGACCTGTTCCTAACTAGACCTGTTCCTAACTAGACCTGTTCCTAACCAGACATGATCCTAACTAAACATGTTCCTAACTAGATATGTTCCTAACTGTTCTAGGTGGCGAGGTGAGAATGTCTCCACTGTAGAGGTTGAAAGCGTGATTAGCTCCGTACTAGAGCAGACGGATAGTGTAGTATATGGTGTAGATATACCTGGAGTAGAGGGTAAGGCTGGTATGGCAGCTATTGTAGAGGATGTTGCAAAGTTTGATCTGGAAAAGTTCTTGAAAAGAATCAAGGCTGAGCTACCAATATACGCTATACCTTTATTCATCAGACTGGTTGGAACTATTGATCTTACAGGTTACAATCATTATTTTCTTTTATCTGGGCTGAGCACTGCTTATTTAAATAGTTTAACTAATTCATACTGATAATTAGTTTTTAGCTCAGGGTATATTCTATGCGCATTTAATTGGCGGACTAGGTTCTTCAAAAAGAAATGGGGAAGGGGTCAGATCTTTATTATTGTCTTATCCTTGGAGGATCGGAATATAATATTTTCTTCTTCTTATCAAGCATATAAATCATGATCGCAAGTTCATGGTTCAATAAATATCATATTTAAATATGTGAACAAGACATTTAAAGTTGTTTAATATTCATCATCACTATCATTCCTATCACATAATCTTTTTATTGATACATTTTTGATAATGCAACCGGATATCTATGGAATTAAAGGGACTGTATGCGTTATTTTAAAGGGAATGTTCTCGAAAAATAAAAGGGGGTATAGGCTTACGGCGAAAAATAATAGATTTTGATCGCTACTAATCTTACTTCTAAAAATTGCGTCTATATGGAGAAAATGGTTAAAAACGACTCGTATCGAAGAACGTAGCGTTCATTCAAATTCAGAAAGTTGCAACATTCAACTCGGATCGTAAAAAATCAATATTTCATATTATTTTTTATGATCTGAGAGTTACTTTTGAAAGCATTTATTTCTGTTCCGAGGATTTTTGATAATGAAAACGACATTTTCATATTTTCCTGGAATGTTCGAAAATCCAGCGCCAGCGAAATATTATGATGACTATTGGGTTTAATATCTAAATCTAATATTTGGAATTAAAATAATTATTTTATGATCCGAGTTGAATGTTGAAACTTACTGAATTTGTATGGACGCTACGTTCTTGTGCTATGTATGCAAATGTTGACTTTTTCGTTTTTTGTTTGTTAAGATTTTTTAACTTTTTGAAGATAGCACACAAATATTTTAACTTCCCAACATTTCAGACCTGTAAAACTTTGCTTTTTTTAAACTTTAAAAAATATTTGTATCTAGGTCAAAATTTGGCAAAGTGTAAGAAATTTTTTTTAAAATTTTTTAATTTGTGAAGTTTCTCAGATTTTTCTGGAACCATTTAAAAGTCCAAAAATATTACAAGTTTTATTAAAATGAACCAATTTATGCCTAGATACAGGTCTTATGAGTTAAACAGTGATTGTGTTTGCTTGGTTTAGGCTCATAGCTTCTTTGAGAGTCAACATTTTTTTTCACGCAAATATATAGGGATTAAAATTTTTGAAACATGATAAACTTTGCATATTTTTGTGGAGCCACCTAGTACAAAACCTCTACAATGTTTAAAAAAACGAAATAAATAAGACACATAAACAAAGATAATTAGGAGTGGAAACTTAAATATCCTAAACCCCTGACTTCAGCGCCCAAATATTCCTTCATATGTTTAACCTCAGACGCTGAAGCCTGAATTCCACTTTTTAAATAGTTTTTAATGATGTATCCGTGGATAGATATAGTATTCTCCAATCCCCATGCTAATATGGCAATGCCCGATTTACAACGGTACCCTTGAAAGCTTTGTCTGATCAAGTGTGAATTATATACAGGGTTACCCACAAAGGATGAGACTTCAGAGATGATTGTACGGGATGAATACGACCGGTTTTCTTATATTCACGATTCCCTGCAGTACTGTAAGATTGATTTTCTTAACCAAATCCATAAATAAGCCATTAAATTAATATATATAAGGTAGAATACATAATAAAACCTTGGGAGCGTCCCATTTAAGAGTATCATGTCGTCTTTACAGTCTCATCCATTGTGGGTAACCCTTTATATACATGTTTCCTCTAATTTGCGGTTTCTTTGCAAAAGTGACTTGCGGCGCATTGAAACTCGCAGAAATAAATTTTTTTCTAGTCAGAAAACGCCTCTTCCATTTTTTTGAGACTTCAAGGGGTACCACTGTAAATCGGGCATTGCTATTTTTTCATTGTATGTAACTTGAAATTAAGCTCACATTAGAATATCGATTTTAGTCGCCCAGCTTAGCGCTATTAAAAGCACAAGGGTTTGTTCCAATTTTCCATTTTATAATCTGTGATTTAATTTTGCTTGTTCAGGTACGTTTAAGATCCGTAAGCTGGACCTGGTACGTGAAGGATATGATCCAAAAATAATCTCTGATCCTCTCTTCTTCTACAACGCAGCTGTCGGCAGCTATTGTAAGCTTGACACGTGTCTTTATGAAGATATTGTCAGCAAACGATGTCATCTTTGATATGATGGCAGCCAGAGCTTACACTGTGCTCTCTCAACTAACCTCATTTTATCCATCCTTTCATCCAGTATTCTTGATTATCCATCCTTAAACTTAGTATTCTTGAGTTATATCATTTCATCATTCACCAGGGTAAATAGAACTAAGGGGAGAGAGATTAGGGCTTTGTTTACATTTCCTGTGACGTACTAGGACTGCTTTAGTACTAGTTTTATTGTAATTAAACAACATTTCGCAAACAGTAAATTCTTTGTTTACATTTTTTTCACAATAAAACAAGTTATGCAGCTGCCATTGTCGTGTAAAGTGTAAACCAACTGTTTCCCCCTCTCCTTGGATCTACTCTCTTTGGAACCAGTATTTTTGAGTTAAACTGCTTTTTTTTTACTAACGTACAAAATTCGTTTTTATAACTCAGACTTAAAACAAGTAATTGGTAAACACTGAACTATGAACAAACAGTGTACAGTCTACTACAGAGTACAGTACAGTCAACTGAGTACAATACGTTCTACATAGTGCAGTATAAGTCTACATAGTACAGTACAGTCTACATAGTACAGTACTGTCTACATAGTACAGTACTGTCTATGCAGTACAGTACTGTCTATGCAGTACAGTACTGTCTATGCAGTACAGTACTGTCTATGCAGTACAGTACTGTCTATGCAGTACAGTACAGTCTTTAAGTATCGTGCACACTAAAATGTACACTGACACACTTTGCGCAAACATAGCTCATGATTAACCCTACTGTAAATGTAATATCGCAAGTTGTTAAAGAGACTGTAAAGGAAAAATGAAAGCGGGAATAGGGTGAAAGCTTATCACTTTAGCTCTTGATCGCGACCCATGAAAGTTATATCTGATGTTCCTGTCTTGAGAAATTGATATAAAACTGTGTCAAATTATACGAAAATTCATTTATATATACAATTTTGTATAGAAATAGTAGGTTTAATCGGATCATATTCAGCAAATACGTAACCAATCTGAAAACGAAGATATCTCAGAGAAACCTAATTGTAACTTAGGTTTTCTCCAATTATTATTTTATAATTATATCCCCCTTTCATTTTTCCTTTAAGTAATTTAGTTTTCATTTTTTATAACTTGATTCTTGCCTTAAAAGCATGGAAGACTTTGAAATTTTGACGGACAACTTTGCCCCCGGCCAATTCAAGCAGTAATTCAACATTCTCAAGAAACTGCTCACAAATGTTGGAAACTTAAAATAATTCTTATAATTCTTCATTTTAAATTTTACTTTTGATTTTTTTCCTTTAATACTTCAAGCTTATATTTTTTTTTTGTCTACGGCAGTTGTTTAAATCTTCAATGCTGCCAAAATGCTAAATGTGCATAATATTTGTGTTAAAGAACATGCTCATACAAACTGGTAATATGTAACTGTAAATTCACGAGAAGTGATAAATTATATATAATATATTAAATGCAGACATGTAGTTCCTAACTTAAAATATCTTATAAGTAGTTGTGTCATTAAGACGACATTTAAATGTAACGTATTAAACTACAAAAAAGAACAATTTGTTTACGAAATGTGATGAATTTGCTCATTTTTATAAATTTAAAAGTTGAATAAATCAGGACCAAGCTGTAATAGATTTTAAGCATACAAAAAAATTGACTTAAATTTTCAAATGAAGCTTAAAAGATATAATAATCCAGAGTTTATTTTCAAACGCTTAAATTGCTCAAAAGTCAAATAGCTAAGTCGCTACTTTATTTCTCGATATTCTTAGTTTTGGCATTTTTCCGTTTTACAAACCAATAGCAAAATTTAAATTACTTTTGATATTTTATACTTTAAGGCAAAAATAATGTCTATTTAATTTTTTTTACAAATTAAAAGAAATTTATAAAATTCAAATTTTATTTAGACAAAAAATGGCATTGTTTGCAATATGAGTTTGCAGTCTAAATAAACAAACTCATGTCATATGCATGAATGTCATCGAAATGTGTTATTTTAACGTAATATGATAATATTCTATTTTTCTCTAAAACCATTTAATATGTATTTTATGATGTTTTACCCCGTGAAATAACTTTTGAAGTTTATTTTAAAGTAAATGTTGAAAAATAAGTTGTACACAGTGAATTCATATTTTGTAATTTTCTGTTGATATGTTGTAACTAGTAAATATTATTTAATATTCACAAAACTGTTTTAAAACTTGTTAATTACGTTAATTATGTTAATTATGTATTCTAAACTAGAGAATAAATATAGTTTAGATAACATTATAAAACTTGATAAAAAGTGTGTCTTATGTTAAATGGGAATCAATATTTTTTTTATAGTTTTAAAATAGGCTTTATTTTGATTTTTTTTCAATATCTGATCCAAGGAAAACAATTGTTCAAAGATGCGTTATAGTATTTATTTTCAAATCTATATATAAATTTGGCTTGTCTGTCTGTTTGTTTTCGTATCCAATAAACGTCAAAACGGCTGAAACGATTGGGCCCAAATTTTTTGTGGGACATCACGTGAATACAGTGAAGGTTTATGAATGATAAAATTTAAAAGAAATGTGTTTTTAAGGTTTTTAATTTTGTAAAAAAAATTAAATATTTGAAAATCCGCAAATTTTTTTCTTCTTTCTTTTAAAATGTAAACAAAAAGAACATGTTCACAATTTAAATAGAAGATGGGCGCGAAGCGCCCTAAAAGCCTAGTATAAAATAAAACTGTAAAATATATAATGGATGATGGTTTAGGTGTAACAAATAAAAAGACTATTTAATCTAATCCAATTGAAAGTATAATAAAGATGAATCTTGTTCGAATTGGTATTTAAACAAAATTATTTATATTAAAATGTATACTTACTAGCCAGCTCTCAAATAATCAAAACATTTTTAGGAATGCATTTATTGCACTATATATAAATTCAAAATAGTCACGTTCGTTTTAGTAGATTTCGACATCGAATTAGATAAACTTTTAACAAAAGTTTATGATTTCAAATAAGCTTTTAGATGGATTTTAAACTACATGGTTTATGGCAAAGTACCTTAAGAACCTGTATATATATATATAGATAGTTTTCAGATGATTAAATGCAACAACAAAATATTATTGTAAGTTATTTTTTATTTGATTGTATTTTTTATCCTAAATCCTAACACAAAATGTAGCTACAAACCAACCCTGGATCCCCGATGGATTAATTCCAGAAACTGGGTGACGGTGTCCTCCAACACATGCCAATTGATAGACGACTTCAAGATCGTCTATCGATTGTTGATAGCTGTCTGAGGACAAATTATAAATAAAAAAGACGGAAGTTTTCAGGCTACCAACATTAAGGAAAGCTTTTAAACTGTTCAACTTTTTATACAAATATTGTTAATTAAATAACTATTAAATATTATAAAAATTATTTATTAATGTTTCGTGGGACATCCTGTAAATAAACATTTTCCATTTTTCTTTTCAAAAACTGCAAACTGACAAATCAAAAATATAGATTTATTATTTAAAATTTTTTTGACAATTTATATATTATACAATAGTTACTGCAAATTTCTCAGCCTGGCCCTTCAACCTGCAAATACAGAGAGTCCTGGGACCAAAATTGATAAGTTGCGAGAAGTCGTTGGACTACCTACCGCCGGTTCAAATGAATTGGAGATTGAATCTGGGATTCAAGATTAGATTTGAACCAGCAGTTGGTAGTTCAGAGAACTCACAAATTCATTAATTGCGGTCCCTGATAATAACCAGGGTTACCTCCAAAATATGAGACTTAATGTCAACCTGAATGTCTAATACTTCAAGTTAAACAATTTAATAATTTACAATCCAAAATGATTAAAAAATTGATTAATAATAAAGCTCAAGTTTTCCATTAAAAATAATAAAAAAAATATACGCAACAAAATTTGTTCTGTCTCTTGAAGTCGCATAAGTTCTGTGTAACCCTGCAAACCAAAAATGTTCTCCTTAATATAACTTTTTGCAAAAACTTTTAAGAATGAATCTATATTAAATAAAAAATGAATTTCTTTATGAACGTAAATACAGTGGGGCCCATAAAAATGTGGGATAGGAAAACGATATTTAAAGGGACAGACCGGCTATGTAAGTTAGTTGAACTTAGTATGCAGTGTTGTGGACTCATTTGAGACACATAAAACTTTTTACAGATCTGTAAATCCTGAGTTTGAGCGCAGAGTAAACGTTCAATTTCGTTCTTTTGGGTGGATACGTTTTCAGAATTTTTTTAAAAATTATTTAATAATGACGACAAAAAATGAAAACAAAATTCTATAGTTAACTAATTAGTTGTTTAGGAACAGGTTGAGAAAATAAAAATTAATCTTATCATCGAAAATAAGCAATCTTATTCCATTAACGTAACTCTCGATTATTCACAAAGATTTTCTGCAGATTTTTGGGAATTTTTATTGAAATGACGACATTTGAAGAAGTTATAGAAATTTGCAAATAAATTCATAGAAAATAAGAAATTCAATATAATGATGAAAACGAAATAATTGATTCTAGCATTGATTTATTGACAAATTATTTTTGAGAAATATTTTCCTAGTCTAATTAATTTACTGTATAATTTTTACTTTATTTTTCGTCGTTGTTATTTAATAATTTTAAAAAACCCGATTCTGAAAACGTACCCACCCAAACTAATGATTTTGAACGTCGACTATGCACTCAAACTTAGTAATTATATATCGTGAAAACGTTTTTTTTATGTCTCAAATGAATCCTAAAGAATTCTTCCACAACACTGTATACTCAGTTTAACTACCTTATACAGAAATCATGTTTTATTTGATGTTGGTGTACAGCAAAAACTACCCTACCAAGTGAGTGGGGCCAGTGTACACTACATGATTGCTGTGTTGAATTTTTATTGGACTATCTGAAACCATAACTTGATGGTAACTGCATAACTATCTTCAATCCTATTCCACAGTTTTATTGCTCTCAGATATGAATGAATACCTTGATAAATGTATCTGTATTGAATGATGAATGTAAACTACTTCTCCTCTCTGAACCTGAACCTGAACCTGATCTAGGTTCTCCTGGAATAGATAGATCGAAACTATCTCTTCTCCAGGTGGAAGGAAACACTGTTAACAGATTCCCTTAAATACTTAGATAATACGCTACAATTTGTAATACGTAATTACTCATTGCCCTCCATTGACGCAATAATATTTCTCTAAAAAGCACTTTAGAGATTGAGTCCTTATTTAAAACGACTGAGTCTTCCTATCTAAACTTCTGTTCGATCAAGAATGATTTCTGCATAAACAAAAATGCGTCAAGGAAATTCTCTAAATAATTCCCTATCCATTTTTAAAAATGACTTATCCTCAATTTGAAATAAATGGGAATATGTTTGTAAGCATAGGCTATAAACTTCTTATGCTCCTTGTGTTGACTAGTTTAATGACCCAAAACTTGATCAAATTATAGAGTTTGAGTTGAACCTGCATTTTGAGAACTCTCTTCGTCCTTTCTCCATAAAAAATTCGGCTCTCCAGAAACAGGGTTCGACTCTTTCATTTCAAAAATCTTTCCATAACCCTAGGATGGAAAATCTTTGAATAGAGATTTTGGATTTTATGCGTACATATTATTGATTTTTTTTCATGTTCTTTTTTCCCTATGTCACAAAATTGGACTTTTTTAAGACCTTTTTTATCCTACAATACTTTTAGGGCGCTTTGCGGCCCTTTTCCTGTAAATTATTTTTTACTTTTAACTGTTGCTCTGAAAGTCGGCCATTTAAATTTATTTTTAAATTTTGGCGGATTTTTCTTTCCTAATTGGCGTCATGTAAGTCTCACACAAAATTTGGGCCAGATCGGTTCAGCCTTTATTACGTTTATTAGATAAAAACGAACATACGAACACCCAGACAGGCAAGCAAAGTATCTATATATATATAATTTGTTTGACTGTCTGTCTGTCCGTTTGTATCCAATGAACGTCAAAAACGGCTGAACCGATTCGGCCCAAATTTGTTTGTGGGACCTCTCATGACCACCCCAGGGAAGGTTTATAGATGCTCAAAATACAAAAAGGTGTGTCTAAAAGTTATTGATTTCTGTAAAAATATGAAAATGCGAAGAACAATTATTGCTAAATCCCCGAACTATTTTTTGTTATTGTTTTATATTGTACAAAGAGAAGATGCTCACAGATAGAGCCACAGTTAAAAGTTGAAATAGAAGACGGGCGCGAAGCGCCCTAAAAGCCTAGTATATATAGATGTTGCAATTGAAAAAGTGGCTGTAAAGGTTTTTATGTGTTCTCTGCCATGACATCAGGAAGTGTGGGGACAGATCCTGAAATTTAGAAATTTGTATTTTCTAATGAAAAGTACCTCAAGTGAATTCTTCTCAAGAATTTTTCCTTGTTCCCCAGTTTCTAAACCTGTAACAGTACTGCTATTACTACTCGTGCTTTCTCTCCGCCATTTTGTTTTATTTAGCTTCAGCTTAAAACCACGTGGCAGAGTTTCTGAATTCTCGTGATTTCTCCACATCCGCTTGGGAAACGTCCATTGTCCTTCCTGTTGGAAACCTTGTTGTTCAGTTCTGGATATATTCTCTCCGTCCTGACTTTCTTTTCTTACAATCTCTGGATCTTCATCTGAATCATCAACCGAGGATACTCTAATCACCAAACCTTAAATAAAACCTTAAAGAAAACCTCAAATAAAACCTTAAATAAAACCTTAAATAAAACCTTAAATAAAACATTAAATAAAACCTTAAATAAAACCTTAAATAAAACCTTAAATAAAACCTTTAAGAAAACCTCAAATAAAACTTTAAATAAATGGAACTTAATTTTATTTTCAAACAAAATTAAAATTTAGTCCCATAAAACTGTGGAATATAAAGACGACATTTAATCAATCCACTGCAAACTGGACAGAAAGAGAAGATCCAATTGATCCTACAGTAATGATCCGACTTTGGGTCCTCGAAGCTCCTATTCTTTTCGTTCTAATTGTTCTTAAATAAAGGCATTGTGAATGAAAACATAAAATATTTTAATCTTGCATTTTTGCATTTTACTTTAGTTTGACGTGAATCTTGTATGTCTTTGATACTGTTATAATGTAAACCAGTCTAGCTTGAAAACAAACATATCAATTTAAATGAGTCTATGTTTACTGCACAATTTCTGTGTTTTGTGTTCCGTGGAGACTAATTAAAATCATAACTTGAGTCTAACAGTCGTCTTTGTATTCTACAGTTTAATTCCATATTCATTTTCAAGACTTGATTTTCTGATCAAATGATCTTTAGAATTTTTCGGATCTTTTTCCTATTTTTTCTTTGATATTTTATTATCAATGAATCCATTTCCCCGAAAAAGTTTCGAATTAATATTAAAGGGAGTGTTCGCGTAAAATGAAAGGGGGTATAGGCTTACGGCGAAAAATAATCGATTTTAATCGCTACTAATTTTATTTCTATCTGTAGCGTCTATAAGGAGAAAATTGTTAAAAACGACTTATACTGAAGAACGTAGCGTCCATACAAATTCAGAAAGTTGCAATATACGACTCGTATCGTAAAATAATCAATTTAATTTCAAGCAAGTCATTCAGATATTACAACCTAAAGTCATTGATTATTTTTGGACGCATTTGTATATAGTTATTTCATAATATTTGTTATTTGTTTTATATACAGTGCACTGCTAGGTATTTCTGCCGCACTTAATCATTCAAAGCATCGAGATCTGAGACATCTGGCGGCCAACTATTTCGGCGTTTTAATTGCATTTGTATACAAAACAAATATTAAATATTAACTGTATATGAATTCGTCGAAAAATAATAGGTTCTAATATCTGAATGATTTGTTTGAAATTTAATTGAGTTTTTTACGATCCAAGTTGAATGCAACTTTTTGACTTTGTGTGGACGCTTCGTTCTTCGGTATAAGTCGTTTTTAACAATTTTCTCCTTATAGACGCAACAGATAGAAGTAGTATTAGTAGCGATCAAAAGCGATTATTTTTCGCCGTAAGCCTATACCTCTTTCATTTTTCGCAAACACTCCCTTTAAAAGCTATATTTTTTCTTGAGAAAGTAGAAATTCAACAGCAACATAATATATATAATTGCACCTATACAGTAGATGCTCAATGTTATAATACATACATCATATGTTGTTTATCAAAAAAGTCAGAATTGTTAAATTTTTCCGTATTGTAAAAAGTTTTTAAAACTTTTAATATTCTGCTGTTTTACAAAAACAAATTCCACTGCCAATTCAAAATTTAAAAACTTTGATAGTAAATTAATTTACATTTAAGGTGTCCCACAAAACATGACTGTCGAGATACGATTTGCAGATCGTCTTTGGATCTTTAAAAATAATTTACGGCATTCCTTTGTCAACCTAATCTAGATAAAACTAGCTGAAAGCCCGGCGTTGCCCGTGGAAAAAATCGGTCCAGCCGGTTAAACTATAGAATGTTTTATGATATAGATGTAAGTAAAATTGTAAAAACAGTATTCACAAAATATCCAGAGTCCTAAAATATCGACGGCTTTTTTGTACTTTTTTAATATTATCGGAGATGTGAAGATTTAAAGAATTTTTTTCAGATAAGACAATTTATTTTCTTCATAAATTGAAATTTTAACGAAATTTGAATAGCTCCGGATCCGGTAATTTTGAGAATAAAGAGAAGGATAGAACATATTTTGAAAACGTGCAGGAGTAGAGGAAATAGGAATTTTGTTTATATTGTTAAAAAACCACTCTAGTAAATGTAGGTTGAACATTTTTTTAAGATAAAAGACAATCTTTCATCCGTCTCTCAACTGACATGTTTCATAGGACACCCTGTTACTAAATTTAAGCATAGGAAATGTTTTTATAAACGAGATTAAATTATTGTGAAGAATTTTTATAATCATTTTGAATCTTTGATGAAATAAAGGGAATGTGAGCGTAAGTAGTTCTATTGACTCTCCATTTAGTTAGGGTAATGTCCTATTTACAATAGTACACTTTACACCTTCATCTGATCAATACTGTGGGAGATTCGTTTTTCCCAAAAAACAAGAAAAATCACATTTTCATCATTGGAGCTCAGACAAAGGTTTAAAGAATACTTTTGTAAATGGAATGCCACTTGAAATTACGGCTTCTGTCCCTTAAAATAAGAACAAAAATAACCTGAAGAAACTCTTTTATCAATGGCGGTCCATTTTATTGACCTGGGGGTTGGATTTTCCACCTAGAAATTTTTCAAATATTTTAATTTTAACTCTCAACAAACAAGGATACGGTGGGCTAGTAACTATGAGTACACACACAGAATAGAGAAAAGAATAGAAGTGATATAAGGCTATCCGCCTCCCATTACAAAAGGTAGAATTACAAAAGGTAGAACGATCAAAAGGTAGAACGATCAAAAGGTAGAATTACAGAAGGTAAAATTACAAAAGGTAGAACTATTATAAGGTGGAACGGTCTAAAGGTAGAATTACTTAGGGTAGAACGTTCAAAAGGTAGAATTTTCCAATTTTTTCAAGAAAATCTGCGAACTTTTTTTGAAAAATTCCCAAAACTGCATTTCTCGTTTGAATTCAGCATGGTGCGGTTGTTCACCTACAAAACGTCAACTGTTACAACTGTTACATTATGTTACGTTAAGTTAGGTTAAAACGATTTATGGGCGGAGAGCCGTGGCTAGGATGGGCTAGGGAGCCGAGAAACTAACGTTTCTGCAATCAAAGCTGGGTTCCATAGGTAATTCATAATGATAAAGCTAGGGTGTGACCCTTCAAAATGTTACATTTATGTGATCATAATGTGTATTTGATATTGTTATAAAGCAAATAGTTGTACAGGGAACGCACTTGATGATTAACTTAATTACAGTCTTATCTACAGGGTGTCCCAAAAAACATGGGAATTCAGTGACGAATAGTATATCGTCTTTGCCATGAATTAGCATTGTAATACCTAATTTCAAAAGCCATAATATTATTATGTCTGCTAGAGTTTATTTTATGAAAAGGGTAAAAGACTGTAAAGATGTGTCTATAATGTCTCCGCAAGATGAACAGTGAAGACGGACAAGTTTACTCTGTTTGTATACTGCAATTTTCTTGTTTTACTCAGTGCAACTGTATGCAGTCAAAACATAAACAAACAAAATGTAAACATAGCAGACGAAACTCTTACAGATTAAAGCTTTCTCAGTTGGTATCACTATACTAAATCAAAGAATTATTTAAAAAGACGATATCGCATTCGTCACTGAATTCCCATGTTTTTTGGGACACCCTGTATTGAAGGTACGGGTACTCCTGGACGTGAAATGGGTCTGTGTTCTGTCACAATTGCCTTGTTGTGTTGGACTATTTAAAATCAAAATTGGAGTATTACAGTCGTCTTCCTATTCCACAGTTTTAAGGGTCTCACTGTATACCTCTATCTATTTCGTTTCCAAGTGTCCAACGCAAATAGTAAATATCGTCTTTTTAAACTTGTGAAAAATATATCTATTTTTTGTAATCTTAATGCAAATCTATTTTCGAACAAAAAGAATGTATTTACACAAAAAATTACGAACACATGAGATCTAACCTGATTTTTATAAATGTCTCCGTCTCTTCTGTCTCCCTGAGTACGGGTTGAAATTGTTTTAATCTAAAAAATACGTTTTCAAATTAACGAATAAAACCAATTTTTTAGTTAAATCTTTTTTTAGGATTTGACGTTTTTTTGATCTGGGGAAAAATAATGTCTTAAAACTTTCAGTTTTAATAGATTCTTTAATAAAAGAATATACAGGGTTGCCCACAAAGGACTGTCCAGACGATCTGAGATTTATGAAATATGACGATATTATTGTTGAATTAAATCTTCCGACTTAATTATAATCGTTTCATGACTTATTTAATGATTGGGCCAAAAAAAGCAAGTTTACAGTTGCAGGACATCATAAATACAAAAACGACAGTAAAAATTCCAGGCAGTCGTCTCTGAAGTCTCATCCTTGGAGGTTAACCTTGTAAGAGAATTTTCAAAAAAGGTTCACGTCTCATGGGCGATTCAAGATGTGGTCTGTCATCATTATAATTTTGTAATTTACGGGGATATTGGAAAATTAGAAAATTAGATAGATTAAATTCTGATTGCAGCTTTGAAACTCATCCTTCATTTCCCATGAGTGAAGCATACTCCCTGCAGACCAAAATCGGTTCGGATTTACAAAAGAAAGAAAAAATATTAACATGTTTAGCTATACCTTGAGCCTGTATTTTTGTCCTGTAGTTTCAGGGTTCTGAGTAGAGTCCAGGTTTCGTGGAGTAGGAAACCCATCCCTTCTACCAGATACCAGGGAGATCAAACCAAACAGGAGAAAAACTAAACCTGGAAAATACTTAGGTTCAAAACTGTATTTTCTTCCAAAAAATCTTACTTCGCGACATTTTAAACTTTTGCAAGGCATCTCATGAATTAAAAACAATTCTTATTAAAAGTTCTAGTCCAATCTTAATTATTAAATGATATGAATAATATATTGTTCTAACGTAAGTCTCTGTATCACACCTAAGGGTTTTGTATAAGATAGCGATAATCTACAACGCTTAATCTCGATATTCATAGTGAACACTTTTCATAAGAAGTGATTAAGCGGAAAAGACACGAAAAAAAATAACATGAATATCGAAATCTTTTATCAACCTTGGATCAAGGAATAAACATAATTTTTTGGACCACAAAATTCACGGATAAGTCCTTTCTTAGGGGGTTCACAACACAAAAGTCCCCCACACCGCTATATTAGCTGAATCTAACCTGTGAAAATCAGAAGAACTGGACCGAAGATAGCCTGTTTATTCACCAGTTCTATGGAATCTCTCCGACCAGATTTGAGAAAAAGAACAAGAATAAAAATTCCAAGAACTGAGAAGAGTAGTCCCACTGATCATTTTGCATTAAAAAGACAAATAATATTGAATGGTTTTAATACTAACGTTTAAAACAATTTATACCATGTTAAGGACGACATTGCATAAAGGTTAAAAATCGGAACTTATTAATTATTAATTGGAACACTTAGTGAAATAAAATAAAAACCAAATTGATAGTCGTGGTCACTCTTTCTTTTAATTAAATTGGTCACAAAGAATTCTAACTTTTATAACTTATATATTTCTGAAAAATGTCTAAGGCACATTTTGGAAATATAATAGTTTCAAATTACAAATTCCTTATCAGCATTTATAATAAAAAGAAGTAGAGACGACAATTTAATGGTTATACAGGGTGTCCCAAGAAACATGACAGTTGGTGAATAGTTTTAAATGTTTTATTCCATAATTTGTTAAGTTCTTTGATACAAAAGAGAATAGTAACAAATAAAACATGGCAATCATTTTATAGAAAATTGTTTCAAAGTAAAATATATTAGAGTAAAAGAGTTTTGTTAATGAAATAAACTGAAAAAAGTCTTTAATATCTAATATAATTTATGGAAGAAGACATTCAAAACCATCCACCAACTGTCATGTTTCGTGGGACACCCTGCAGCTCCAGTAAATCACAAAAATATACTTTAATTTTAAGAAAAAGTAAAATATTTAGGTTTCCATTTTTTCTTCTTTTTAATTCCTGGAGGACAGATAAACGAGAGAACTGAAAACCTTGAATATGAAACCATCCTGGAGGTTTTCAACCTGAAACCCACCTACTGGATAAAAACCTAAAATAACAATGCTCTATCTTCATCAATAATACATAACAGAAGAAAGCTTTGTTATTCTACAGTCACAATCTTATTTATAATTCCAGCTAAACTTCGGTAGAATTTTAAATCCGTTCTTTCTTTGACAGATCGATAAAATTATGAACAGATTTTCAAACCCATTAAATTAATTAAGAAATCTCTGAATCTCCATGTATAGAGTGGCATGTCCGATTCTATACGTACCTTAAAAAGTTTTGTTTGTCTAGAAAGTAAAAAAATCGAGTTATATTTTCAAAATAAAAAAAAAATTTTAATTAAATTTTTATATTTTGATAACAATGCACATACTATATATTTCAAAAAAGGATGGATTTGTTAAAAATGCACATTTAAAAAATTCATTATTCCAATTATGTTACTTTTTTATAAGACATAAAGAAGACGACCCAAAACTCCTTAAATATGACGATCAGAAGATTAAATTTGGTCTCTTCCCTTCAAACAGTTGTAATGATGGTAGACAAAAAAAAACCAAGAGTACTAAATGAAATTTTGTGCAGTCGTTCCTGAAGTCTCATCCTTTGTGGGTAACCCTGTATACAGTTTTTTAGAAACCCTCTCCAGACTTAAAAACAATATCCTGAGCTGGGAACTTTAGAATGGTGGATATCGAGATCAATGCTTGATCCTCCCTTTTTCTTAATCTCGAGACTAACCTGATCTTGTGCTTGTATCCTAAAAGTGTATGAAATTCAACCAATCAGAGTCGCGTATCAGAATCCGTGAAATTTGGAATTTTTGGAATAATTTAAGATTAATATGCAGAAACTAATTTTGAAAAACCGGTTTTTGATTTTCTGTACTATATCCAAAAAAGAGTGGAGTAAGCAAGAAATAAAAAGTGTCCACATTGGATATTCGGATTAAGCAGTCGGGATTAAACTATCTATTTCTATCTACATGCCAAATTTAGAATTTAAACAATGAATGTTGAATTTGGCATAACGTGTTCTAATTATTATGTGATTATATCAGTTTCATTCTTTCCTATTATAATACTCTCTGATTAGGGTGTTTTGATCCACATGACTGGGTTCAGAAGTAGCTAATATACTCTACTTTAAACCATTATCTAGAACCTTTTCCTTTCTCTGTCTCAAACTGCAGTAGGAGCTAATTATCTAGAACCTTCCTTTCCTTATCTTAATCTTCAATAGGAGCAATACTCTACTTTAAACCATTATCTCGAACCATCTCCGCCTCAACATGCAGAAGGAGCTAATACTCTACTTTAAACCATTATCTGGACTCGAACCATCTCTGCCTAAACATGCAGTAGGAGCTAATACTCTACTTTAAACCATTATCTGGACTCGAACCATCTCTGCCTAAACATGCAAGGAGCTAATACTCTACTTTAAACCATTATCAACATTCGAACCATCTCTGCCTCAGCATGCAGTAGGAGCTAATTATCTACTTTAAACCATTATCTGGACTCGAACCTTCCCTGCCTAAACCTGTATATTTATACCAGTATTTGAGTATTATGGGAGTTTGCGATGAATTCTACAGTGTTGATATAAATATTTTATACCGTAAATTCCCCTGGTAAATACTCCCAACCCAAACAATTATATAATATTGATTTATTCTAGCGAAGCATAAACAATAAAACTCTTTGTTTCACGTTTAAATTCATTCATTTTGATTGAATTTCAATTAGCTCTCCTTCCTTTGCATGATATTGGTTTCTAACTTGAAGTTTACACTTGGCTAAAGAATACAATGATTAGAACAGTTATGGTTGATATGAATACCTCTATATTATAATGATTAGTTGTGTAGTCCTGGTTCTACACCTAAATATACCGCGCAGCCATTTATGCATCAGTTATGACGGTAATGTCTCCAATCTGGTAATTATACACACCAGTAAACATTATAACACGGAGTTTCAGTCATCAATATACTTCTTTATACAGTGCACAGGGTAGAGGATGGATCTCAGTACTGTGTATACAACTAGGGACGGAGAAAGATTGAATATTAGCTCCGTGTATAGAAGAGAAGTGTATGAACAGGAGAAGATGTTGCACCTGGAGGAGGAGGAGGAGGACGGGTTGAAGTCTCCTCTCTCTATATACACTGAGGAGGAGAGTAGAAGGCAGAGGAAGGCTAGAACTGCTTTTTCTGATTCTCAACTCCAGCTTCTAGAATCAACCTTTGAGCGTCACAAATACTTGAATGTAGAGGAGAGGACGGGTTTGGCCAGGAAACTTGGTCTCTCTGATACCCAGGTTAAAACCTGGTTCCAGAACAGAAGGTAATTTCTTAATGAATAATATAATAAATTGAACCAACTTTTAAACCTAATTTTTTATTTAGAACTAAATGGAAAAGACAAACTTCCCTAGGTTTAGACCTAGAGGGAGAGAGTACTCTAGAACCTGGAGAAGAGCTTCAAAGATCCTACCTTGAGCTGTATTATAACAGACTGAGATCAATGCAGTATCTTCCCCTGATGTTTCCTCAGCATCAATATTCAACATATCTGGCTCAACTAGCATCTAGAGCTAGATCTTTATCTGAACTTTCATTAGCTCCATCCACCTCCCCTCCTCATTCCTCATCCTCTCCACCTCCCTCCTGCTCTTCTCCCGTTCCAACCTCTCCTATAAACTTATCTCTCCCGGAGAAAACAATCTCGTTAAAACGTCCTTCTCAGTCTTCTCCGGAATATTCTGAGAGAAAGCGCTATCACTCTTCATCTTCTCTATCTCCTGAAACCCCTCCGCGTAGAATCTCCAACTCATCTTCTCTGATAGAACTCGGAGAGGAAAAAGACAAGGACGAAGCTGAGAGCTACAAGACTCCAGTGGAGGATGAAACTGGGATATGGAGAAACGAACCTAGGAAAACGGATGAATAAAATCCTCATCGCTCCAACGAAAAAAGTTCAAAAGAAAATTAATCATAAAAATATTATGTTTTTTAAGCGCTGAAATTCAGTATTTGATAATCTTTAAATCAACATAGATCTCTTTTAACCGGTTCATATATTTAACATCAACTGTGTGTGTAAATATTATTTGACAGATTTTAATGTAATAAATTTTTAAAAACACATCTAAGCGTATCTTACCACTTTATGATGTCCCTAAAACCCAGAAATTTAAATCTTTCGGTAAAAAGTGTTGTTTACAAGAAGCGAATGCTGGAATTGTTTAAATTTAACCAATCAGAAGCGAGCAAAAACATATCTAACCAATAAGGAGAGACTACAGGAGCTCAGTCTGAAAAAGCATTACTTGTAAATAAGACTTTTTGAACAGAAGAATTCTAACTTTTTTGAGTTGTACAAGAAAGAAGTTTGCATTTAAAGTTGAATTGATGGTGAAACTTTGCAACTTCGTGACATTTTTAGTTTGTGCAGTCTAACATCCAAGAGCAAAGAGATTTTAGCACTTATTTTAAAATATCTATTTTTTAAAATCTAGATATTTATTTATGTATCAAGGTTATTATAGTTTACAAGATTGTTAATATGGATTTAACACAAAACTTTCTTGCGATGTATGACTGGGAGATACTACAAACACAGTGCGTGTTATCTCTTATTGGAAAATGCTACAATTAACAGTGTGCATGCTTTCACATAAACATACACGGGGGCGAGTTTCCATTTTTACATTAAAGAAGATTATTGTTAGCTTCATAACGAGGAACATTGTCCGTTCCTCGTTAATATTGAGGCTACATAGTTATGGATAAAAGAAAGGATTATTATATTTGAGAAGTATTTTTCTATCAGGGAAGATTGATTTTAGCATCATTTTAAGCGAGATTATGTTAACTCGTTAATATTGAGGCTACATAGTTATGGATAAAAGAAAAGATTATTATATTTGAGAATTATTTTTCTATCAGGGAAGGTTGATTTTAGCATCATTTTAAGCGAGATTATGTTAACTCGTTAATATTGAGGCTTCATAAGCAAGGTGAAAGAAGGAACATAATAGTTAAGAAATATACTAAATAGGAACATTGATGGTTCATCGTTAGTATCTACATAGACTAGGATAGAGACAAGATTTTAGTCTCTTCGTGTTCCTCATATCTTTTAAACTAAAGAGGAATTGTGTTAGCTCTTTAGTCTTGAGGCAACATATCGAGAGGGACATTATATTTAAGAAATGTACTAACTAGGAACATTGAGGTTCCTCGTTAACATTTCAGCTATTTAAACATGGATGGTCGAAAGAAAGAGAGAGAGACAAGACTTCAATCTCTTCGTTATCCCCTTATCTTGTGACATCTTGGTTCCTCGGCGTTGCAATTTGTCGCCGTTATCTGCTGGTTCCGGAGGCGTTTCAGTTCTGTTCAAACTGAATAATTAAAAGAAACTATTAGTTTATTTAAAACATTCGATAGTGCTTACATTCCACTCAAGTAAATTCAGATTTTTAAACATATACTCTTAATTAGTGACGAATTTTGGAACAGTATTTATAAAGAATTATTTGTGAAGAGAATAAAAAAGATGTTTAATTAAAACATTCGGTAGTGTTTACATTCAACTCAATTAAATTCAGATTTTAAATCGTGCACTCTTTATTTAGTGAAGCATTTTAGAGCAGTATTTATAAAGAATTATTTGTGAAGAAAGAAATTGTTTATTTAAAACATTCGGTAGTGCTTACGTTCAACTCAAATAAATTCAGATTTTAAATCATATACTCTTTGTTTAGTGACGCATTTGAGAACATTATTTACGAACATTATTTACAGAAGATTATTTGTAAATTTGTAAATTAAAAAAGAAATTGGGTAAATAAATAAACTTTATCTATCAAGATACATTTGTTTATTTAACAATATTATCAAAAACAAAAATAGTATTTGTTTATTCAATTTGTTTGACTGGGGAGGCCGGATTTAAGAAATATAAGAAAAAAGTAGATTGTCGATTTGAAAAAAATAGTGACGCATTTGAGAACATTATTTGAGAACATTATTTACAGAAAATTATTTGTAAATTTGTAAATTAAAAAAGAAATTGGGTAAATAAAATATCAACAGTTTCAATAAAAAAGATGGTTAAAGAAAGCATGCAATATTTTAAACTAATACGAAATGAACTTTATCAATATGTGTCGAGTTATAACTCCAGTTGAGAAGTGTAATTATTGATTAATAACGGTAGGTATACGAAGTATAGTCATTTTGAAACATAAATATTAATAATTTACGCATATTGAATTTCTAGGATAGCGTATTATTGCACCAAAGCAGAGTAAAAATTATAAACACTCGTCATTGTTACTTAATGGGAGAAACCGACCATGTAACATATTTGAAACTGAGAATGCATTATTGTAGAGAAAAACTTTAGGATTCATTTGATACCAATAAGACATTTTTACAATGTACACTGTACAATTTTTATATAAGCGCGCAAAGTCGTTTGTAATATTTCACCTGTTGTTTCAGTCAGCAGAGGAAACGTTTTTTTACAATTTACAAGAAGGATATTACTTTGCGTGGGATGAGATAATTTTTAGTAAACAGGCAGCCCGACCTTTTAGTATCTTGACGCCAATCATGAAATGCAGTCATTAAAGTGGCGAATTGGATCTAAGATTCGGCTAAAATGAACTGTGCCTTGATTCTCAGTTTTTGTTGACCAAAAAAATCTCAAAATAATTTGAAAATTTAGTTTAAGTCAATACAGATGCCATAAAACCCCGATAGATGTCTAAAATTGTGTTAAAAGTGCATTAAATTCAAATCACAGAAAACATAATTTTACGGTGATTACTAATTGAGGTGGTGGAGATTACCAATTGAGGAGCGCGCTTGCCGCAAAACAGATTTGGGTGGCGGTGATTACTATTTGAGGAACTCTGGACTCCCTCCCTCCATGGACAAAACATGTAATATTCTACAAACTAGTTTCATGTATACAGACAGGCTGAGGAAAATAATGAACTTCTATCATATCATTGGAAATCTCGCAGGTTTATGCAAATTCTTTCAGCTAGAGTCCCTTGTTGGAGGATTTCTTTATCGTAATGATGAAGACGACATTTTGAAGATACTTTAGAAACAGCAATCTTAAGAGTGATAATGAAATTCTACGATTCTACTATGGCTTTCATCGATAATTCCTTATTAGAAATATATTCATAATCAGCAAATTAATTAGTATTTTGTCGTATATTTTTTACATTTTTTGTCCGGTTATTAAATAATTGTAAAAAACGTTTCTTCTGCTGACTGATCCACTTTCAGCTTTTTGGAATTCCTTTGACATAAGGAAACGGATGGCAAAGAAGTTTTTGTAAATTATTTACAAACAACCCGTCAAAAGAACTTTGCACATTTTTAAACACATATCAGGTTATTTAAAATTTTGCAAAACATTTTGCGTATTTGAAATGGCAATGTATATTTTTTTTATTTTTTGACAATTTTTTGCAAAAATTTTTACTATATAGCTGGATTTTGAAAAAAAAAATCTATTTTTGTAAATTTTGCAATTTTTTTTGCCAGATTTTTAAAGTAGAGCAAATGTCCTCCCCGCTTCCAGCTTATCCTGGTTTTAAGTACCCCATCAGGGATAGGGTTAAAAGCTTGATATAAATCTAAATTTGTCTTCATAATATTGAAATAATTGCCTAGCGCCGTGTTAAATCTGTTAAATCCAACAATCTAAGTTTACACCATCAGATTACAAAGATATAGGGATTACAAAATTTATTTATTAATCCTTTGCAGAAAGTGAAAATAAATATTATTGAAATTACAAAACATGTGTAAAACTGTGTAAAATGCTTAAAGATGACAAAAAAACATTTGAATTGAATGGTTAGAAACATGATTCGTAGTTTGGAGTGGGCGGTCCGGACACGCCTATACACGCCCTCTTCCCACTAATCAGCATATCACAACTATTACTAGATTTTTTATGAATGAAATAGTTTCCTCCGCCATACTCAGGTCCGAGCTCGTTCATGAACATCTGACAGGTCCCAGGCTCAGGACTCTGGTAATGGGAGGTTACTTCATCCTAAATATATCATAATCTTCCTTATATATCATAATCTTCCTAAATATATCATAATCTTCCTAAATATATAATAATCTTCCTAAATATATCGTAATCTTCCGAAATATATCATAATCTTCCTAGATATATAATAATCTTCCTAAATATATCATAATCTTCCTAAATATATCATAATCTTCCTAAATATATCATAATCTTCCTAAATATATAATAATATTCCTAAATATATCATAATCTTCCTAAATATATCATAATCTTTCTAAATAATATATTATAAGCTTCCTAAATATATCATAATATTCCTAAAGATATCATAATCATCCTAAATATATCATAATCTTCCTAAATATATCATAATATTCCTAAATATATCATAAGCTTCCTAAATATATCATGATCTTCCTAAATATATCGTAATCTTCCTAAATATATCATAATCTTCCTAAATATATCATCATCTTCCGAAATATATCATAATCTTCCAAAATATATCATAATCTTCCTAAATATATCATAATCTTCCTAAATATATCATAATATTCCTAAATATATCATAAGCTTCCTAAATATATCATTATCTTCCTAAATATATCGTAATCTTCCTAAATATATCATAATCTTCCTAAATATATCATCATCTTCCGAAATATATCATAATCTTCCTAAATATATCATAATCTTCCTAAATATATTATAATCTTTCTAAATATATCATAATCTTCCTAAATATATCATAATCTTTCTAAATATATCATTATCTTCCTAAATATATCATAATCTTCCAAAATATATCATAATCTTCCTAAATATATCATGATCTTCCAAAATATATCATAATCTTCCTAAATATATAATAATCTTCCAAAATATATCATAATTTTCCTAAATATATCATAATCTTCCAAAATATATCATAATCTTCCTAAATATATCATTAACTTTCTAAATGTGGATTCTGGAAGCACTGTAAACTACTTTTTGTTCCTTAACACTTACAAATTATTTCTTTGTTTAAAGGGGGTGTTCGCGAAAAATGAAAGGGTGTATAGGCTTAATGCGATAAAAAAGCGCTTTTTATCGCTACTAATCTTACTTCTATCTGTTGCGTCTATAAGGAGAAATTTGTTAAAGCCGTCTAGTACCCAATAACTTAGCGCCCATACAAATTCAGAAAATTGCAACATACGACATAGACTGTAAAAAAAATCCATTTAATTTCAAACAAATCATTCAGACAGTACAGCCTATTGTCATCGATTATCTTTCGCCACATTTGTATATAGTTTATATTTTATAATATTTTATTTTTTTAGAAAACGTTTTAACTGATTTCGAAAAATGTGAGTGGTCCGCGGCATTCTTAGGTAGTTGCGCAAGCGACAAGAGAAATAATCAAATTCAAAACAAATTAATTAAAAAGTATTATAAAATATAAACCATATACAAATGTGGCGAAAGATAATCGATGAATATATGTTGTAATATCTGAAGGATTTGTTTTAAATTAAATTGATTTTTTACGGTCTAAGTTGTATGTTGCAATTTTCTCAATTTGTATGGGCGCTAAGTTATTCGGTATTAGTCGTTTTTAACAATTTTCTCCTAATAGACGCAACAGATAGAAGTAAGATTAGAAGCGATCAAAAGCGCTTTTTTGTCGCATTAAGCCTATACCCCCTTTCATTTTTCGCGAACACTCCCTTTAATTCTAGCGCTATAGAAGACCTAATCTATCCTTCAGATCATTACATTTTAGGTAGTCATTAAAGTTTCATCCTTCGTGGTTAACCCTGTCCATAAACCTACTCCTTGGTATCCTCCTGTATTATTTGACCTTGTATCCTCCTGTATTATTTGACCTGGTATGTGCAGTCCTCGGAAATAAAAGCAGAGCATCCGGTTCGTCCTTCAATACAGTCTTCAACAAGAGGACTAGCAGGACCAGTCTAGGCATTCGTTCGGTTCAAATGTCTGAGAAGTCGTCCGGTAGCAACGCATATGAATTCTTTCGGTATAAATATATCGGAATTCGTCCGGTAGCAATATTTCAAAATTCGTCCGGTGTAATATTCAAGAATTTGTCCGGAAGAATTCGTCTTATAGTAAAATATAAGAATTCATCCGTTAGTAATATTTCAGAATTCGTCCGGTATTAATAAATCAGAATTCGGCTGGTTCAAAATTCAGAATATTTAGTTATATTTCCCCAAATTTTGAATGAATACAATTATAGAGAATAAATAAACCTATGAAGCATATGTTGTACAATTTCGGAAATAAAGCTCTTTTTATAAGACAGCAACTTTCTACTAAGAAATGAATAGAGAATGAAAAAATTTAAAGGTTCAGATCAGTATTTTATTTTTCTTTTGGCATAAAGAAATACAAAAATTGAATTATTTCATTATAAAGTTTTATCTTGACGACATAAATCTGATTGAATCTGAAATTTGAGCATAGCTTACTCCAAAAACTTCAGGATTTGTCGTAATATTCAGTCAAATAACATGATGTTTAGACTTTATAATATGTCATTACCACTGTATTGCATGTTGGATATCTGTTAGAGGAGAGTGTACATTTCTCTCTGTAGATATTATAATGGAACTCCTGGCAACCTGACGTATCCTGACACATACTTTGGCACTCTGTAATATTTCCCCCTTCAAGGGTCACGACCTGGACAAGTTTTAAATCTAGAACTTATAATTTATTTTGAAAAAATCTTTTTTAAAATAAAATTTCGCTACCTGGAGAACGTTTCTTTGGCATTGGCTGATACTGAACTCCAAGCAGTCCAAACCATGTAGATATCCGGGTAGGATACAGAGTACCAGGAGAATAAACATTCTGCAGATATGTATTTTGTATTTGCTGTTGTCTCTGCATTCTTTTAATCCCTTCTACTATTTGTTATATCTTTATTCCCTTGGTATCACTGTATTCTTTGTATTCCTTTCCATATATTCCCTGTATTTCCTGTATTCCCTGTATTCCCTGTATCCTTAGTATCTCCTATATCCCCTAATTTCGCTGTATTCCCTGTTTTCCCTGCATTCCCTCTATCCTGTATCACCTGTATTCTCTTTATTCTTTGTATCCCCTTTTTTTCTGTATTCTATATATTCTCAGTATCCCCAGTATTCCATATATCCCCAATATCCCCTGAATCCCCTGTATTCCTTGTATACCTGTATACCCTGTAATCCTTGTATACCCTGTATTCCCATGTATTCCCTGTATTATCTGTATTACCTGTATTATCTGTATTCCTGGAATTCCCAATATTCTCTGTATCCCTGTATCCCCTGTATCCCAATATCCCCTGTATTCCCTGTCCTAGTAAAGTTTGCTCCGACCTGTCTAAACTTTAACCTGGAGCAGATGAATTCTTAAAACTATGTTACTCAAGACTGATTCTAGATATCCCACCTTCTCTATATAAACTTTATCTATCAAGATACATTTGTTTATTTAACAATATTATCCAAAACAAAAATAGTATTTGTTTATTCAATTTGTTTGACTGGGGAGGCTGGATTTAAGAAATATAAGAAAAAAGTAGATTGTCGATTTGAAAAAAATGTGCTTTTTCTTGTTTTTCATGTAATTCAGACTCTTTTTGTAAAATTGGGACGTTGATACCTGGAGATATGTCACTTGGGAGTTCACAAAGGGAATGGGTCTAATTTGTCAATCCCTATATTTTTCCAACTCGATGTCGTAGACCTTAGATATTTCAAACTATGAATTCTGTTGGATTAAGAAGTCTTAGTTTAAAATAGCAAAGGTTTACACCATCAGGTTGCAAATATATGTGGATTAGAAAAGTTAAGTTTCTTGCTCCACTTTAAAATAAAAGCTCTCGAATTTACATGTCAGACCCCGAAAAAGTTAAAATAATTAGTGCAAAGGTTCTCTGATATTCAATGTAACTCTTCAACTATCCTACCAAAATCTTAGAATATCAATATTGATTGATTGACTGTTTTTTTTCCTTTTTACCTTTCAATCGCTTTTTGTTCTATAATTCAACAATATTAAAATTTACATAGTTTTTTTTAATACTTTTTTAGATAAAAGGCATTTTAAATCCATTTTTCTAAAAAAAAAAATTGAAATGCTAATTTGTTTGAAGAAAGGAAAAGGAAAAGTATTAGATGAGACTATAATCAAGGATTTGGGTTAATGAGAGTTTAAAATCCACCTGCCTTCTCCGAACCTAGCCTGCCATCTCCAACCTTACTCTTCCAACCTTGATATAAATTGTATGTCTCAGCTAAACCTAATCTTGTTCTTCCCAGGATCAACAGAAAGAAACATTTTAGTTTGCTTATAAAAAACAAAAATTAGGAAAATTATTAACGTCTGATAAAACTTTCCATCTAAAATTAGCACTGTTAGTAAAATGATTTTTTTTGGGTTGATGCAAGTATTATTTTGTGAAATTCTAATTTTTTTTATATACTTTTATAACTCATCTATCTATACTTTATCTAGACTCATAATTCTTAATTGCTAAAATATGCTAAATTACAGGCTCTTCATTATGTTTGCCCCTTCTTATCTTCTTCAAAATTTATGATCTTATAAATCTATGTTTTATATTAATAAAGCGAAAGTCGCCTTCAAGATAATTTCAACATCGCAAACAAATAATAAAATAACAAAAATTAGAAATAACTTTTATGTTTAAGAAAACATGTTTTTTCTTGTTCAGATTCAGGTTCTCACAGTTTTATTCATAGACCAGGAATCGAATATGGAGATTTTTAATTTTACAATATATTTTGAGACAAAACTGTCCAATTCCTGAAACCGATTTAGGTATTTTAAACGAATCACTGCGTGACTTTTCAAACCTAAATATACCTATGAATAACTAATGAAAATAACTTTGCTGATTTCATCTGAAAATTGTTGAATTTTTCCAGATTCCTGCAACAACTTGTCTAATTCTTCAAGTTTAAAGTTGTAATTCGTAAATGGCACCTTTACCTCCAAACCTATTTATTTTACCTGGACGAAACCCACACTGAACTAACCACAGAGAGAAGCATCCTGTCTATATTTCAACAATCTTTAAACTTACAGATTTGTTTATTTTATACTTTTTCATTCAAAATGTATATGCCAACAAAAAATTATTTAAGAAAATTATGTAAAAGGGGTCAAATTGTGATCGGAAGTCACAGCTTTCTGAAATATTGACAGAACTGTTAAGTTAAATCCATGTGAACCGTTGATTTATGTTGAAAAATTCAAGTTCATTTTGTCTAAATGTAGTTTTTAAATAATTTCCATAAATTATGACAGCGTATGTTTTGTATAGTCATTTTGATAAACTCTAAGTATTCCATGGAGCTAGGTTCTCTGCAGTACCCTGAGCCACATACCGGAGAACAGTCCTACCGGAGACAATTTTAATAAAACTCAAAAATTTAAAGAAAACAACATGATCACAATAAACAATACTGAAAACAACTTTAATAGTCAAGAAACGACAAATTTTACTTCGGAACAAGTCAATATCAGTCCCCAGGCTAAAGTCCAAGAAAATACTAAAAAATTTGAAAATGAAACTTTTAAAAATACCTCATCCAGCCTTCTTAAAACCCCTACCGGTACAAATACAAGTGAAGTATTCTTTGATAAAGAACAATTAACGGAAGAACTTGAACCCTGGAGAAATATCAGTTTAACGCAGGAAGAAGTTAAAAATAAAACTGGTTTTGTTATCACAAATAATACAGAGGACAACATAAACAACAATGAAAGACAAGGAAGAAATGCAAAACCAACATTTGAAATGAAAAAAGGAATTGACTCTTTGCCACACGCTTAAATTTTCTAATCCCTATTTCTTTGCAACCCGATGATTTAAACCTTGAATTTTAAAAATTTAGATTATTTAATCTAACAAAATTCATAGTTCGAAGTGTGTTGCAAAGATAAAATCAGAGTTTGTGGCAAAGACCTAATTCCTTTCTAGAAGGTTCTGAGGAAAGCCCAGGTTCAGGAATAGATGAGATAAAAGGAATTCTAGTTGAACCCCCTTCCCGTGGTTCACTTTGGAGGTTAGAAATATAGAAATATATTAACATGATCTCTTTGTATTATTTGTTAATTTTTCTATAATTTCAGGAAAGGTTTTTTTGCTCCGAAGAATATTTTTGATGATGAGACGAACTGCGGAGGATTTATTGAAAAGAGGTATTTTTTTTACCGCCTTTTGTCTATCAATTACTAAACCATGATTCCCCCAAACATCGGGGCGGGATATTATTTCCCTTCACCAATTTTGCCCAAAAACATCCCTTACTTACTACTTACTACTATATGTTTTGTAGGGAAAATTGGTCTAGCAAACCCTTTGGTAAAGTAATATTCCCTTATCTTCCCTGTAAAATAGTTGTAAATAAATAATGTAACTCTACCAGTGCGCCTTGAAAGAGATTTGATCATATAAAATCAACCAATCTAAAACAACTTTCATAAATTGCTAGAAATAATAAAAAAATACTAGGAATATTATCACGGACCGAATAACTGAATTTATTAATGAGTAACTGGACGAATTTTCTTTTTAATTTAATATCCATTAAAATATTTCAAGTAAGAACACAATAGTGAACAATGTGAAAAAGTTTTAGAACATAAAAATGTGATCAAAATTTGATGCGTGAACTCAACATCAAAAATGTTCTCCCGGAAAATACGCCATGTTGCTATACGTAGCAGTTTCTATACGTTGGATTTCTATAAGGTTTGACGCCTTCTTTTTCTTTGCTCTTTCTTATCTAGAAAGTCTGGTTTATGTGGAGTATGTGGAGACAGGTTTACGGAGAAGGTTCCTAGAGATCATGAATCCGGAGGGAGGTTCGGACAACGGATTATATCTCGGAACTATCTCCAGGTACAAGGATAGATGACAGATTATATTCAGGAATATCTCCAGGTACAAGGATAGATAACGGATTATATCCAGGAATGGTCTCCAGGTACAAGGATAGATAACAGATTATATCCAAGAATATCTCCAGGTACAAGGAAGGATAAGAGATAATATTCAGGAATTATCTCCAGGTACAAGGATAGATAACAGATTATATCCAGGAATTATCTCCAGGTACAAGGATAGATAACAGATTATATCCAGGAATATCTCCAGGTACAAAGAAAGATAACAGTTTGTATCCAGGACCTTCTCCAGGTACAAGGATAGATGACAGATTATTTCCGGGAATGGTCTCCAGGTACAAGGAAGAATGAAAGATTAGATCCCGGAATTATCTCTAGGTACAAGGAAGGATGACAGATTATATCCAGGAACTATCTCCAGTTACAAGGATATATGACAGGTTATATCCAGGAAGTATCTCCAGGTACAAGGAAGGATGAAAGATTATATCCCAGAATTATCTCCAGGTACAAGGAAGAATAACAGATTATACCCAGGACCTTCTCCAGGTACAAGGAAGGATGACAGATTATGTCCCGGAATTATCTCCAGGCACAAGGAAAAATAACTTATCATATACAGGAATTATCTGCATGTAAAAGGAAGGATAACTTTTGTATCCAGAAATTATTTCTCGTAGAGGTTTCTGCCATGCCTGCAATACTAATAATGCTAAAAAAAACATTCTTTTGTTTTTAGGGGTCTTTAATTTCTGTTAGATTTGAGCCAACAGTTCCCCTAAATACATCCAGATTATTCTTCCAAATTTCCATCTGTAAACCGCACGGTGAGATACTAATAAAAGACCCGAGGCCGAATTTAAAGAATTTGAGCGGCGGCTTAAATTTATGCCGTGGCTCAAATATAGTTGGTTTCACTTAAAATTGTATTCAATGTTTCAAGATATAAGCCGGTGCTTGATTGAAACCGGTTTTTGGCGGATTTAAGACGCGGCTCAAATTCATTAAATTCGGACAATGATTAGTCGGCTCATACTCTAATGTATGTAAGGATAAAGTGAACATTTGAATTTGAGGCCAGTAATCCGTACTTTTTTAGAATATTATTAATAATTTAAAATCATGTTCATTAAGAGGAAGAGAACTGTTTTACCTTTGGTACTTATGTGAAAGACCTTTGATTTTTCAAATCACAAATTCTGCTGCGGATCAAGTGTTCAAGTGATTAGAAAGTTATTAGAAAATTAGAGTTCTACCAAAGTTGTTTTCAAAAATATCTTTCATATTCTAAATCATATTGTGTTAAGAGGATGGATTAGAAGAGGAGACCTGTTTCCAACCCTTTGAAGGTGAGATGAATAAGCTCCGTATCTATGGATCACAGCCCTACTCTACGCAGCACATTGATATTGAGATTAAACTGCCTCAACCCTTAGTCTGCTCCAGGTACACTAAATGTTTCGATCTAATGCAGATATTTGTAATTTTAAGAATTGTTTCAATGAATTGAGACTTTGCCACGAACTCAAAATCACTAATCCCTATTTACATGAAAACTGATATTTGATATTTCAAACTTAGATTATTTGATCTGTGGCCGAATTTAAAGAATTTGAGCGGCGGTTTAAATTAAAACCGCGGCTTAAATATGGTTGGTTCCACTTAAAATTGTATAAAATGTTTCAAGATTTAAGCCGGCACTTAATTCAAACAGGGTTTTGGAAGATTTAAACCGCGGCTCAAATTCTTTAAATTCCATCTCTGATCTAACAGAATTCACGAGACTCGAATTCCTTTGTTCAAGAGTTTTAAGATAATCTTGTTGGTTTTAATCTGATTAAACACTACAGAGACCAGAGATGGAATTTAAAGAATTTGAGCCGCGGTTTAAATCTGCCAAAACCCGGTTTAAATTAAGCGCCGGCTTAAATCTTGAAACATTTGATACAATTTTAAGTGGAACCAACCATATTTAAGCCGCGGTTTAAATTTAAACCGCCGCTCAAATTCTTTAAATTCGGCCACTGAATTATTAAATAGCAAGAAGTAGTTAAAAGTGAACCACAATAAAAGTGGTTTAATTAAGTCTACTTGGTTAAACTACTATTCATTCATTAAATCAGATAATACAATTGTCTCACTAATTTCTTACAATTTAACCCAGTACGTCGGAGACATAAAAAAAAATTATAAAATGTCTGAGATTTAGGTATAAAAGTATAAAACCTATTAAAAAATACGTCAAGACGACATTTTATAAATTCTTTCGACGACTCCGAAGTTCTGGTTTAAACTGAGAAAAAACATTCTTAGCTTAGTCATTTTAACCCAACTTGATAGGTTTTATTCTACTTTCTTTGGCTCAGTATACCGAACCACAATATGCCCAGTAAAGGAGAGAATTAGGAATAATGTTTATTATAAACAAAAGATCCCCGCTTAAAAACGTCTGTGCAATCATTGATTTCAATTTTTAAAATTACATTTTTGCTCTAGATGTGTTCTTCGTCTCCAGATACTTCGAGATGCTGAAACCTGCTCCTGTGCTCTAAACCCTAGGGAGATAAGCTGTCCCTGTGTTGGTGAGCTGGCAGAGTTAAGATCCTGCTCCGATATTAGAATAGTACAGAGGAGGTACACATCGGTAGACACGGTTAGTCTCATAATAAGAACATTTTTTAAATTAATCAAAATATCAATACATGATATTTCTTCTAGCTTGACAGAGAAGAGAAGTTTTTCTATGATGATTTTGAATCACTGGTCGGAGAAGAGTTTAAGAGAACAAAGATTGGAAATCCCTACTCTGAGCCTCTGGAGGAGCTGAAGAAAGAAGAGATCGGAGATTCCTACTCCGAACCTAGAAATTTCTTGGAGGACGGAGATAAGTTCTCTCCGAGGTAATGGATAGAGGAACTGATCACTTAACTCAAAACTAAACAAATATCAAAGGTCTTCAGAAATAGATTGAAAGGTTAAAAAGATAAGAAAATTTGAGTATAAGGAGAATTATCGGTTTCTTTAAAGAAACATAATTAATGATGATTAATAATATTTTTAGCAGGGAGGGAAAGATCACGAGACCTGATGAGACCCAGAGTGCTGTATCTTTGTCTAGGTATAATAAGTATCATTTTCAGAAAAAAAAAAATTTTTGAACAAAAATTATATACTGTTGGATAATTATTATTGGAAAGCAGGCAGGTTAATAAAATATTGAAAACTGACATTAGAATTTAAATGGGTCCTTTTTTTGGGGTTTCTGTATTAAACCAAACCTTGCATATTTTGAAGAAAAAGTGCGCCAGCTTTTTTTTATATATTAAAACTGATTTAGTCTGTGCAGTAAAATTCAATGTTAAGTTTGGGCCAAATCAATCAAATCATAATCAATATATTTGATAAGAACTCTACAACTTTTTCCATAGGAACCGATCACTCCCTACTAACTCTATCTACGTATCCTTGAAACCTGAAGTGTCTAAACCCTTGATATTTCAAACGTTGAATATTTAATCTATTAGTTTTTTTAATATCAGAGGTCTACAACATCGGGTTGCAAAGTAAAAGGGATTAAAAAAGTTTGAGTTCGTGGCAAAGGGGTTAGTAGATCAGAGTTTGAGACAAGTAATCAGTTCCATTTTTGTATCAATATTTGTTTGCTCTGTAGACAGCTAGATCTGGAACTGGAGAAGGATCCCCTTATATCTTTAGCTCAACTCCTCACTGATCAAACTACCTCAAAACCTCTCAGGTTTCCAGGAGATACAACCCTCCCAGTTCCCAGCACTACCCAGAGAAATAAATCAACAACCAGAAAACCAGTTTATAAATCTAAAAGTTGTAGTTCCAAATCCACAGTCGGCGGTTTACTCTTTTTAATCATAAATATTATTATTTTTATTGTTAAATAAACTAATGAAAACAGAGACTATTATCCTATGCGGACACAATAATTTTAATAAATTACTTGCTATGATTGCATTATGTCGTCTTTAAAAAGCAGAACGGATTGTGAAAATCCTACAAGTTTTTTTTAAAAATGATTACATATCACAAATGGGCAACTTTTCCAAACACATCTAAACCTCGGAGTTTATCACCAAACCACGGATTTATCACCTAAACCACGGATTTATCATCTAAACCACGGATTTATCATCTAAACCACGGATTTAACATCTAAACCACGGATTTAACATCTAAACCACGGATTTATCATCTAAACCACGGATTTATCATCTAAACCACGGATTTAACATCTAAACCACGGATTTATCATCTAAACCACGGATTTATCATCTAAACCACGGATTTATCATCTAAACCTCGGAGTTTATTACCCGAGCCACGGATTTATCAAAATTTTTAAAAATTTAATGAAAATCGAATTTAGATGGAGACAAATATTTGAAATTTTGATCATTTATAAACCTTCCTTGGGAACACGTGAGGTCCCACACAAAATTTGGGCCTGATCGGTTCAGCCGTTTCGACGTTTATTGGATACAAACAAACAAACAGACAAGCTAAGTTCATATATAGATGTATTTCGGGTGTCCCAAAAAATAGTCTGGAACTACCAAGAAGGATCAGGCCAGATTTAAATGCCAAGATAAGTCCAACAGATATCCAGCTTTCACTTGGGCCAGGTCTCATCTCTTTCTGTTCAGGAGGGGTGTGTTTTTTCTTTGTAAAAAATGACTTATAAGATTTTTCCCTACTTAAGAGGATCTTTAATGAAATATTCAGATACATTTTGAATAATTTAAATTATAAATATATTTGGTATCATAGAAACTTTTATCAAGAAGTAGAAATACGCCAATATAGATTTACCAATATGATAAATATAATAGAATGAAATGTCGTATTTTTTAGGTAAGATCAGTGGTGTGATACCATCCAAAAAGTACAGGGTTACCCATAAATGATGAGACTTCAGAGACGACTGTGCGGGATTTATACTGTCTGTTTCCAAATAATCACGATTCGATTCCTGCAACTATAAAAATTGGTTGCTTCTTTGCCAAATTATTTCAGAATCCATTAGATCTAAGGCAGAAAACTAAATTTAACCTTGGAATTGTCACATTTTAATAGTTTCTGGTCGTCTTTACAGTCTCATCCTTTGTGGGTAACCCTGCATACTGCGACATTTAAAGTGCCTAGAACATAAGAAATTTTAATCTAATCAGACACCAAAAACAGAATAATCTAAGGCAGAAAACTAAATTTAACCTTGGAATTGTCACATTTTAATAGTTTCTGGTCGTCTTTACAGTCTCATCATTTGTGGGTAACCCTGCATACTGCGACATTTAAAGTGCCTAGAACATAAGAAATTTTAATCTAATCAGACACCAAAAACAGAATATGCAGTATACTTGTCTTGAAGTCAAATTTTCTATAATCTGAATACAGTGTGAGTCAAAAAAAAGTGTGATTTGCGGCGCCTGGTGCAAACTTTTCAGTTCTGGTCTAATTTTAACGAAAAAATTGTTTTTCAATGGCTCTTATAAGGTTTCAACTGAACACCGTATATTTAATACTTTAGAATATACTAAGAAGAAAGGAACTAGAGAATTTAAATAGCTTTTCCATAAAAATTAGACCAGAACTAAAAATAGCGAATTTTTTAATTACAATTTTTCGAATTTTCTGTGATTCTGTGATTCAATCTTTTTAAAATTTTAGATTTCGATAGAAATAATAAATATTCACATTTTTGCTTTTCTAAACTTTTGATTGTGAGAGAAAAAATGTTCGCGGATTTTTTTCGGGCGGTTGGAGTACCAAAAAAGTTACAAATTCTCAAAAAATGTTGAAAAAACACCATACAGGACAGTTGCACCAGGCACCGCCAATCACTTTTTTTTACTCACCCTGTATTAATACTCCTAATATCAAAGATAATTTTTCAAAACTAATCCAAATGATGATGTTTATTGAAACGTAAACTGGAAGTGAAAAACTAAATATCTAAACTCCACTTCTCTATTAATGGTTCCTGAAAATAGAGAAATATAATAATTTTCATAACGATCGTCACCAAAGAAACTGTGCTTTTGCCACAAACTCAAATTTTCTAATCCTGATAACTTAGACCTTATATTTCAAACTATAATATTTATCAGATTAAATAGAGTTTGTGGCAAAAAATCATTTCCTTTGAAAGGATTGTAAATAGAGTCTTGTTTACATTTCTCCCAGAAACTGCAGTATAGTTGATATACATAGATAAATAAATAAACATAGATAGCTTATGTACGCAAAATCACCAAGAATTGTACAGTCCGCGAACTCATACTTTTATGGGTCAAAGTGTACTTCAATAATAAGCGGGGTTGTTTGGTGTTTTAATGGATTTCATAGTTATTAAACCACTCAGGAGTGAATATGAGGTAGAACATTTAAGGGTCATAGCTCAATTATTTTTAAGTTCTGACTTAAATTTCTCTCTACAGAACTCATGTACACCACAAGTACTCAATGACATAAGAACAGCCAATGTTCACAACCGACCTAGTTGATCTATATAATAGGAATATCTTTAAAACATCTCTGTACATTTATATCTTTCAAGATGAAAAATGTCGTCTTATGCGCAATCTATCTTTATCTATGTTGATATATGGTAGTTCCTGTACCGGAACCATTACATCTTTGTTTACAAAGAAGCGTACGGCATTTTCGGAGAGAAATTTGAATATTTAACTCTAACTGTGCTCAACATGGGAGGGGGTCTAGGGCCGCCAAGAGCCCCGCTAAATGACCTCTGGAGCCTCCTGATGCGCAGGATAACCTCCAAGTCCGAGAATCAGTCACCCTCTCGCTACGATATATTTTGATTTTTGTTAGTTAAGCCATAAAAGGTAAATATAAAATAAATAAAATGAGCGGATATCAAAATGCGGGGCGTGGAGACAGAATGGCTGAGGCTTGGAGACGTAGCGAAAGGCACGGAGACGGTTTTGCAGGGCTTTAAGGTGATGCAGTGTATCAGGAGGCTCTGGAGGTCATATCGCGGGGCTCATGGCGATTATGTACCCCATCCCTCGCGCAACCAAACTAATCTTTAAAATTTTGTTGACGTGACCTGTTCAGGTTTCTGGTTTATACATTGAGGTTTACTCCAACCAATAGAATTCTGATCCTCTACAGCAGCATCGGTCAAACACTCAGGGTTACTGAAACAATTTTATTTTTTTCGAAGTAGATCCAAGAATAATTTTAAAGTAAAATTTTTATGATGGGTTAGGTTTAAGCTGAGTCTCTCAGTTAACCTGGATAATCAAGGAAAAGTCCAGGTTCAGAAGTATACCCAGATATACAAGGTTGGGTCTTGTTTCAGGAGTATACCCGGATATACAAGGGTGGGTTTAGATTCAGGAGTATACCTGGATATTCAAGGTTTGGTCTAGGTTCCGGAATATATCTGGACATAAAAGGTTGGGTTGTGGTTCGGGAGGAATAGTACACCTATGGATCCATGTTTGGGTTCAGGATTATTTGGAACAGTATACCTGGATCAGTAGATATGCAAGACAGGGTCTAGAGAATACCTGGATACAAGGATTACGGAGGTACCTGAAAATAGGAGACATCTTCTTCATAGGGACAAGATTCTGGGTTCTACAATACCTCTCCAGTTCAAGCGACATTTCACTTAATCTAAAATAAAATAGATTTTAATACAAAAACACAATGTAATTAATAAAATTTGAAAAAACCTAAATCTTTTTAAAACTAAAAAACAACCTATATAAGGGATTCGTCTTCTCTTGAGATCTTCTTCCTCTAAGAAACCTTGAAAAAGGTCTATGATGTACCGAAAGATCACTTTCAGAACCTAGAGATGTGTCTTGAGCTGGTAAAACTATTGTAGACAAATCCTTTATTCCAGGTTGGTTGCAGAGGGGTTCTTTTACGTAAATTAAATCAGGAGGACTCGGAGATTCATTATTGTACCCAGAGCTAGTAGAATTCACATCGTCATTAAATCTAGAATAATCATTCTTTGCGTAATATACTTCGATGGAAGTGGAGGGTTCAATATCTTCTGAATTATCGGAGATCCAAGGTTTATTAGCCTCTGTATTATCGGAGATCCAAGGTTTATTAGCCTCTGTATTATCGAAGATCCATGGTTTATTAGCCTCTGTATTATCGAAGATCCAAGGTTTATTAGCCTCTGTATTATCGGAGATCCAAGGTTTACTAGCCTCTGTATTATCGGAGATCCAAGTTTTATTAGCCTCTGCATTACTAGAGTTCCAAGGTTCAGTATTCTCTGTATTACAGGAGATCCAAGGTTTAGTACCCTCTGTATTACTAGAGTTCCAAGGTTCAGTATTCTCTGTATTACCGGAGATCCAAGGTTTAGGACCCTCTGTATTACTAGAGTTCCAAGGTTCAGTATCCTCTGTATTACCAGAGTTCCAAAGTTTAGTATCCTCTGTATTACTAGAGTTCCTAGGTTTAGTATCCTCTGTTTTAACGGAGTTCCGAGATTTAGAATCCTCTGTATTACCAGAGTTCCATGATTTAGAATCCTCTGTTTTAGTAGAGTTCCTGGGTTTAGTAGCCTCTATATAACTAAACCTCCAGTGCTCTGTATCTTCTGTATTACCAGATTTAAAAGGTTTAGTATCCACTCTATTACCGGAGTTCCAAGGTTTAGTATCCTCTGTATTTCCTGAGTTCCAGGTTTTAGTATCTTCTGTATTACCGGAGTTCCAAAGTCTAGTATCCTCTGTATCACTATACCTCCAGGGTTTAGTATCCTCTGTATTATTGGAGATCCAAGATTTAGTATCCTCTGTATTACCGGAGTTCCAAAGTTTAGTATCCTTTGTACTACTGAAGTTCCATGGTTTAGTATCCTCTGTATTTCTGGAGTTCCAGGGTTTAGCATCCTCTGTATTACCTGAGTTCCAAGATTTAGTATCCTCTGTATTAACAGAGTTCCAAGGTTTAGTATCCTCTGTATTACTGGAATTCCAGGGTTTAGCATCCTCTTTATTACCGGAGTTCCGAGGTTTAGTATCCTCTGTATTGCTGGAGTTCCAAGATATAGTATCTTCTGTATCACTATACCTCCAGGGTTTGGTATCTTCTGTATTACTTAAGCTCCATGGTTTAGTATCCTCTATATTACCGGAGTTCCGAGGTTTAGTAGCCTCTGTATTACTAGAGTTCCAAAATTTTGTATACTCTGTATTACTAGAGTTCCTTGGTTTAGTATCCTCTATATTACCGGAGTTCCCAGGTTTAGTATCCTTTGTATTACTAGAGTTCCTAGGTTTAGTATCCTCTGTAATACCGGAGTTCCTAGGCTTAGTATCCTCTGTATTACCGTAGTTCGTAGGTTTATTAGCCTCTGTGTTAGTGGAGTTCCTTGGCTTAGTATCAGTCGTATCACCAGAGTTCCAAGGTTTAGTATCCTTTGTATTACTGGAGCTCCAGGCTTTAATACCATCGGTATTAGCGATATTCCATGGCTTAGAATCCTCTGTATTACAGGAGTTCCAGGGTTTAGTATCCTCTGTATTTCTTGAGTTCCAGGGTTTAGTATCCTCTGTATCACTGGAGTTCCAAGATTTTGTATCTTCCGTATTACAGTAGTTCAAAGGTTCAGTATACCCTGTATTATAAGAGTTCCAAGGCTTAGTATGCTCTGTATTACTGGATTTCAAAGGTTTAGTATCCTCTATATTACTGGAGTTCCAGGGTTTAGTATTCTCTGTCTTATTACAAGCACTAAGATCAATGTTCTGAAATGTTTGAATTTGATTACTTGGATGAAGTTTTTGCTCTGTGTTCTGTTTCTGTACTCCAATAAACCGACTCCTACGCCAGGCCTCGACTCCAGATCTATCTAAAGTTTCTCCGATTAGGACTAGAACTACGGATTCCAAATACAACATTATTTAGAAGAATGTTAACTAACCTTTTTGTTCGGTTAATTTTCTCATAGACGCAATGTTTAAAGGTAAAAACTGACTCTGAAATATAAAATGCGACTTTAAAACGATATTTGATAATTGAAAACATGATTGAAAAACTTAAATCTTAATTTAACCGTGATCACCTTAGCAACAAGGGATGGGTTCAGTTTATCCTGTGGGTTGTGTTGGTGCTCCATAGTTAGAGAACTAGGAGAAGTCTGATAACTATTTCTTTTTGATTCTTAGTCATGCCGATGGTAAATGGGGATAAAATTTGGTAAAAGAGATATTTTAGATCAGAGTAAATTTTTGGTGAATTTTTGTTTTATTTTTAAAATTTAAATCTTTTATAAAAAAATAATCAATGTTTTTATTATAGGGGTTAATTAATTATCCTGTGATGCTGTTGAACTAAAACTTTTCCTGATTTTTTTTGGGTAACAGTATTTAGAAATATCTAGTGAAGGATCTCTTCTCTTTTCTTCTAATGAATGTTCCTTATTCAAATCTTTTAAAGACCTTGGAACTAGTTTTTCAAGTTCCTTTAGGTGGCCCCGATTACTTCTAGGAACATTCAACTTAGTAGAGTCAAACCCATTCTCATGTAACAGCGTAGAACCTGGTCTCGATCTAACCTCATTCTCACGTAATCTCGTAGCACCTGGAGTCGACCTGAACCCAACCTCATGCATCCTGAATGAAATAATACTAAATGAAAAATAAACCAAAACTAAACCATGAAAACTGAACAGTCCAATTTAACTTAAACAAAACCATGAAAACTGAACAGCCCTATTAAACTAAAACTAAACCATAAAAACTGAACAGCCCTATTTAACTAAACTAAACCATTCAAACTGAACAGTCCTATTTAACTTAAGCCAAACCATTCAAACTGAACAGTCCTATTAAACTAAAACTAAAGCATTTAAACTGATCAGTTCTATTTAAATTAAACTAAACCATTAAAACTGACCAGTCCTATTTAACTTAAACTAAACCATTAAAACTGAACAGTTCTATTAAACTAAAACTAAACCACAAAAACTGAACAGTCCTATTAAATTAAAACTAAACCATTAAACTGAACAGTCGTATTTAACGTAAACTAAACCAAAAAAATTTAACAGCACTATTAAACTAAAACTAAACCATCCAAACTGAACAGCCCTATTAAACTTTTTAAAAAACCATGAAAACTCAACAGTCCTATTAAACTAAAACTAAACCGCGAACACTGAACAGTTTTTGTTGACAGAAACCATTCTCAAAGTTTTTGTAACTTTCATTCTTTTACCGGATCCTACTTTCCTAGGCACCCTTTTTTTGTCTTTGAATTAAAATTTTTTTTGTGTTTATAATTTACCTCAAATAGATTATCAAGTACAACAGGTGGCAACAGAAAAATGAACCAATTATACACAACGTCACAAGTGTTAATGACTTAAAACATTTAGGAAATGTTCTGCAAAGTGATAATTCAATGACCATAGATTGCAATAAAAAACGAGCTTTTTTCATTTCAAAAATTCATTCCCTTAACCAAGAATTTTATTTTAACAGTCCTGATGTTATTTTGAAACTGTATAATATTTATTGTTGTAGTTTTTATGGATCTAGTATTTGGGACTTGAGTTCCCAATGTGTTTCAAAATTGTATACAGCATGGAATACTGCAATTAGAATACTTTTTAATGTACCTAGAGATACGCATAGGTACTTGATTGAAAGTATTTCACAATGTTTACATGAAAAACTATGTTAGCTAGCAGATGTGTGTCTTTCTATGAGACTATTGAAGCAAATTCTAAGCTTTGCATTAGATTTCTTTCTAATTTATGTAAAAATGACCTCAACACAGTTCTTGGCAGAAATTTATTTTCTATTGCAAATGATTGTTCTGTAAATCCTTCTGATCTTAGTAAAATGTTAGTAAAGAAACATATGAAATATTTTGATGTCCCAAAGGACCATGCATGGAAAGATCCGGTTTTACAAGAACTTTTAAATACAAGAACGAATAATTTATATGTTGAAGGATTAGATGATTACGTAATAACTGAAATGATAAATATGTTATGTAATGTGTAATGATCAATGTCGTCTATTTGTGCATAATTTTGCATATTTGTGTGTGAATAAATCTTTATAATATAATAATAACAAGGAAAACGAAATTGTCTCACATTAGTTGACATGTTTTCCAAGATTAAATAAAAAAGTGTAAAAACAGAAAATAAAGAACACATTAAATTGCACTTATTTTACTGTAAGAAAAGTACTTTATTCTAAAATTGTTACTATTATTGATAATTTTGTCGGACACAATTACTGAATTGACACTTGTGACGTCAGAATGCAACTGTAACTGCTGAGAGTGTACAAATTCTACGTTGCCATCTATTGTATAGAATCTATTTGATTTACCTGTTTTCAGCAGGTTTCGGAATGAATACTGTGTATTTGCTGTAGTCGGAACCAAGGCATATTCTTTCTGCTTGATGAATTGGAACTCTGTATGGGATTCCAACCTTGTTCTTCTCTAATAGTATCTTTGAAACTAAGGAATCAGGATCAAGAATAGGATTTTTTAGATCAGGACTCTCTCCTCTTTGTTTATGAGTCACTGAAAAATCGTCTTTAGGATTAATCCTAGCTCCATGTGCAACCTTATCTGGGACTTGTCTTAGCTTTCTCTGGTAGATAATACGACCAGATCTTGAGGTTGGGAACTCTAGGTTCTCCGGTAGGTTTACAGGTAAATATACACAGGATAGAATACTCTCTCTAGCATTGGATAAGTTGGGATATCTGTGGTAGGTTTCTCTAGTATTGATGTATCCCTGAGGTTCATAAACGTTGAGGAACTGGTTTCTTCTTGACCCAATTCTAAAATTAGATTTATAAATCAGATCTCTCACAAAATTTTAAGGAATTGAGCCTTTGCCACAAACTCTCATTTTCTCAGATATTTCAAACAATAAATCTGTTAGATCAAATAATATTTAAATATCAAAGGTTTACACCATCAGGTTGCAAAGATATAGGTATGTGAAAATTTGAATTTGTAGCAAAGACTCAATTGCTCAAAGGCAAATATCATGTTTTGCAGAGAAGAACATTTAACCTGGAATTAATCTGTTGACTGTAGCACCCGGAGCAAGTAAACCGTCCCACAGTTTCCCGTACTTGACATTTCTTGTTCCTAGAAAAAAAAAAGATTAAGTTTATCAACATTAAGTGCTTTTTTTTGGGGTCTAAATATAGGAGAAAGGAAAAGTCGCCAAAGTGTTTTTTAGTCNGTAAAAAAAAATACTTTGTTTCGGGGTTTTTTTTCTTGTGTTTTCCATCTTGATTTTGAAAGGAGTAGATTGTGTAGGTTTTCCTCATTTTATCATTCTTGGATCGAACGGATGAGGTTCCCATGTGAATTCTTCTCCAACTCGTATCCGATCTATCCTACAGTATAAACAACTTGTATCCGATCTATCCTACAGTATAAATAACTTGTATCCGAGCTATCCTACAGGATAAATAGCTTGTATCCGAGCTATCCTACAGTATAAACAACTTGTATCCGATCTATCCTACAGTATAAACAACTTGTATCCTATCTATCCTACAGTATAAACAACTTGTATCCAATCTATCCTACAGTATAAATAACTTGTATCCGAGCTATCCTACAGGATAAATAGCTTGTATCCGAGCTATCCTACAGTATAAACAACTTGTATCCGATCTATCCTACTGTATAAACAACTTGCATTCGATCTATCCTACAGTATAAACAACTTGTATCCGATCTATCCTACAGTATAAATAACTTTTATCCAGCTCTTGTTTATCGTTTAAGACACATTAATTACTTTCTATGGAAAAATTTCATTCAGTTTTACCTAAAACTTTGGAAATATCGAATGAATTTTTAAAATGTCGTCTTGACAATTTTTCAATGGGTTTTATACAGGGTGTCCCACGAAACATGACATTTAATAAACAGTTATTTTTAGTTAAACAAATCTTTTGCTTGATTATATTTTACTTTGAAATCAATTTTAATATAACATGACTCCCATATAATATATTTATTGCTCTTTGGTATCCAACAACTGAGCAAATAATGGAAAAAGACATTCTAAACTATTCACCAACTGTCATGTTTCGTGAGACACCCTGTACTTTTATACCTAAATCTCAGTAATTTAAGAAAAAATAAATAGCCATGAAACATGCTGAAACAGTTTTAAAGAGCTCCATATAATTATTCAATTCGAAAACTAAATGTCTGCAGCATTCCTTTATCAGTAGATTTAGAAAACGACATTTTAAATTCTTTTAATGTCTCAAGGGAGATTTTTGTTTCGTTTAAACAGAGATTCATATTATTCAAGAAAAACACGCGTTTCTTCGTAAATCAGGACGTGAAACACAATTGAACTCAATCCATTTCCAGAGTTATATTTTATTGATTTTTAAAAATGAATTTGACTGTTTATTGAAAAAAAAGTTTACTAATCACAGAGATTATTGAGTTTTCTGTGTCTTAACACATCTTTGATTATTAGGCTAGGGTAATAAATGAAAATTAGTATATGTGTATATCTAAAAAATGGAAACAACAACTTACATTTAATTAATATTTCTTTAACTTTATTGATTGCATGAAATTGACATGGATATTATAGCCAAATATTGAATTTGTCGTTCAAAAGTTCAAACTCTATACAGGAAAAATAAACACAAAATTTTGCAGGACTCGGATGAAAAGAAATTAGAATTGAACCTTTGACACAAACTTAGATTTTCCAATTCCTATATCTCTGCAACCTGATAGTGTAAACTTAAATTATCTAATCTATCAGAATTCAAGGTTTGAATTATCTCCGGTGTACGATATTGTGTTACAAAGATGAAGGGATTAGGAAATCAGAGTTTGTGGCAAAACAATCAATTCTTTTCTTTGTAATTTTCCAACTATTCACCTGAACAGGCAAGCAGAAATATCTCACAAACTTGGGTTTCATCGGAGCTCGGAGCATTGAAGGAGATAGTTTTAATATAAAGCAGATAGTTAGGAGAACAGAGAGGATTAGAAGTCCAAGAATCACGAAGAATGGAATAAGGAATTCAATAAGATACATTTTTAACCTGGAGCAAATCCATCTATATGTTTAGTCACTTTGAATGATACTATAAATATCAGGACTAGTCCTATGATAGAATAATACTTTGCATGATATGACTAGTCCTACTATAGACTGATACTGTAAATGAAAGGACTATTCGTACTAGAGAATGATGCATGATATGCCTGGTCCTACTATAGACTGATACTGTAAATGACAAGACAACACCTATTAGAAAATGATACTATGCATAACAGGGCTAGTCCTACTATATCATGACAATATAGCATAACAGGACCAGTACTACTATAGAATGATACTATGCATGACAGGACTAGTCCTACTATATCATGACAATATAGCATAACAGGACCAGTACTACTATAAAATGATACTATGCATGACAGGACTAGTATTACTATATCATGACAATATAGCATAACAGGACCAGTACTACTATAGACTGATACTATGCATGACAGGACTAGTCCTACTATGCATAGCATGATACTGTGAATGACAGGACAAGTCCTACTAAACTATAGACTGATACTGTGAATGCCAGGACAAGTCCTAATAAACTATAGACTGATACTGTGAATGCCAGGACAAGTCCTACTAAACTATAGACTGATACTGTGAATGACAGGACTGATCCTATGAGTAAAATGATTTCTCTGTTTATATTTCAATGTTGGGCCAATCTGTAGGTTTACACTAATCTACGAGGGGACCTTTTATATACAGGGTGTCCCAATAAACATGGGAGTTGAGTGAGGATTCTGATATCTTCTTTGTTAATGATTTTTGTTTGGTTAGTATGGTCAAGCCTAATAAGAAAGCTGTAATCCATAGATGTTTCGTCTGCTAGAATTTAAAAGTTTTTTTATGCTTTGATTTCATACTGTGTAGTATGTAAGCATAGTAAGTAAAATGCAAGATAGTCAATGGTATCCATGGTAAAATGGGAAATTCCTGTCTAAAAACACAGTACAGTTGTTCCTCTTCACAAAGCCCGAAATTTAAAAGAGTATCGTTGAACGAAACTCACGAGTTACCTTTCTGGGGTAATTAGCATTTGTGTAGATTTTGATTTAAGAGATTAGAAAAAATTGAGAATATGAAGTAACTAAATAAAATAATAATTCATGACAAAAATATTGATATCCACAAAACTGACTAACCCCATTCGTGAAACCCGGGTTTCAAAACTGGCTTTCATAGCAATCCTGTCTTACGTTTTGGGCTGTTAGTCTTCTAGACTTGTAACAGAAACACCATTCAACGTTTTGTATAGTAACGATACATCATTTTAATAGAGTATCTATCATCTCGTCAAATTCCAGAAAATGAATTGAGTTTTTGCCACAAATGCCAATTTTATAATACCTGAATCTCAACAACCAGATGATGCATACCTTTCATATTTCAAACTTGCATATTTGGATCCACCAGAATTCATAGTTTGAAATATATACGGTCTACGACATTTGGTTAAAGAAATTGGGATTTATAAATCCGAGTTTGTGGCAAAGACTCAATTTCTTTGGTACTTGATTTTAACAGTAAAGGACGCGACCTAAAGGAATTGAGTCTTTGCAACAAACTCTGATTTTCTAGTCCTTGTATTGTCCCAACCAAATGTCGTAGACCTTAGATATTTCAAACTATGAATTATGTTAGTTTAACTTATCTAAGTTTGAAATATCAAATGTGTACAACATCAGGTCGCTAAGATATTGGAATTCGAAAATTTAAGTTTGTGGCAAAAACTCAATTCCTTTCTCTGTTGGGGACATAGAACTAGGGTTGAATCAAATCTAAAAAATTCCTTTATGAGCGCAATTTTCATGAGTTTTCGAAAATTTTAGCAAGTAAACTGACAAAATAATTTGCGGTTTTTTTGTAAAATACAGACACACTCCCTACACACTCCCAACATAATCCACACTCCCCACAATTAAACTCAACACTCCCCCAGACAATCCACATGAACTCCCAACACACAAATGCGGGATGGAAGCTTTTTATCTTCAAAATGACAATAATTAAATACAATAAATAAATGCAATAGATTTTAACTGTCTTATTTTTTTCAAATGGTTTGAAATTTTTAAAAACTATATTTTAATCAACGTTTCGTAACAACCCGAATACAGAATATGTACAATGTACATGAATATTTAAAATTATGCCTGCACTGCATAAACAGGTTTTAGGGCTCGGCCCGGATTAGACGAGCCCTAAAACCAGTATATTACTCCAGCAAACGCAACTTTATTATGGAGACTAATGTTTCAGAGACTTTAGTTAATCCAAATTTATGAAAAGGAATTTAAGTATAGATCGAATTCAATTCGAAGTCTTTTATCTTTACATTCTTTCCAAACCATTTTTATACAAAATATCAATAATAAACATTCAGCAAGGTTAGAGCCAAGATTTGGACAATTGGACATTTGGATATTAAGATTTGGATATTGAGATTTGGATATTGAGATTTGGATATTGACATTTGGATATTGAAATTTGGATATTGAGATTTGGATATTGAGATTTGGATATTGACATTTGGATATTGAGATATGTTTTCTTGTTTACTAAGTAAACATTTTTAAATTTGAGAAACGCGCTTTTTTTACCTTATTCAGATTAATACACATTTACAAAAAGATATAAAAAGTAGAATGGTAAATTCATGAAACTTACATTATCCTCCATATTTTGGAAAATTCTTAAGAATTTATTTTTGAAAAATATTATTATTTATTTATATAAATAAGATAGATCAATGATATCACTGAAAAGAGAACTCAATACATGCTAATAACAGATATACAATATTAGCTTGGGAACCCAGCTCTGTCTGGAAACTTAACTTTCGCTAAAAAAGTCAACTAATTTTGTTAAAAACCAATCTAAAAAGACTCTTGTGGTTCCTACCGAGGTCCCCAATACAAAATTTAATGCAAATGACTTTTGATCGATGATAAAACTAAACAAATAAGGGACAAAGATTACTACTTTATTTATAGATATGTATATAAAATTTTATTTAGAAATTGAGCAAGAATTTGGAATTAAATTTTATAAAAATTGTCACAATTTTGATACAGGTTCTTCTAAAAGAGGCAATGTGAACAAAATCAGATATTTTCTCTATTCCGATGTTTTGAAACTGTAGAATAAAGTAAATGCTTTAAAACTATTTCCGCCAACCAAAACCAAACCTTCGTACGTATCTCTGATTAAAAAAGACTGTTTAACTTCCTTGTTATTTCTTTAGGAAGTTCCGCGTATGTTTTTATGATTATAGATTGTAACTTCTAAATGATAATGTTTGGAATTAAATTGATTTTTTTTACTATCCGAGTCGAATGTTGCAACTTTCTGAATTTGTATGGACGCTACGTTCTTCAGCACGAGCCGTGTTTAACAATTTTTTCCTTATAGATGCAACAGATAGAAGTAAGATCAGAAGCAATCACCATCGATAATTTTTCGCCAACACTCCCTTTAGCTTCCTTGTGGGATGATTTATTTCTCTATAAAGAAGGTTCAGCGTATGTTTATATGCAAGTGTATGTATATACTATGTATATACATGTATATACTATACATGAAGTGCGGTGGTCAGCATTCTTATACAAGGAAGGAAATCTTTTGTTTTTAACTTTTCAATGGCTCCGCTAAAATCTGAGATGTTTCACCAATATAAAATTGTTTACATGATAAGTTTGATTTTATTACTTTACTACCTTGGGAGCCTAATTAGCCTGGATTTTTCTTTATACAAGTCAACCCACTCAATTTAGAATTTCAAAACCAGGCTTAGAACATTTGTGTGGTTCTTCCAAGTTCCCAATCAAAATTTGAGGCAAATCGGTCCAGGGTTCATGAGTTATGTTATGCCATCTAAGCAAACAAACTACTTTAAAGCCAGGGATGCTAATTTTTTGCCCTACCAAAGATATCAAACAAAACGATTTTTGGTGTTCAGACATTTTTTTTGCATAATTTTAGTAAAATTTACCACAAATTTATCAGTGGTGTTGTGTACCGTGTATCCCCGAGTACATTACAATATATCAGTGGTGTTGTGTACCGTGTATCCCCGAGTACATTACAATATATCAGTGGTGTTGTGTACTGTGTATCCCCGAGTACATTACAAGATATGTATGTTTATACAAAAATGCATGATAACCATTAATAAGCTGATCTCAGAACAGAATGTTCGACCTATCGAACACTCTGATCTGCATCCAGGATTTTTATAACAATTTGGGAGAACAGCTTGATTTCTCATCATTGAGTCTTATCAGCTTCAAAAAACTTGTTTACAGTGAAACAACGTTGAATTTTTACAGGACTAACCAAAATACTTGTCAAGCTGTCTGTTGGCTATAACTGTAATTCTCCCCCCCCTCATCCTATACTCAATTGTTAGTTAGAGTAAGGTTGAACAACCCTCTCCTCTTCCTCATGGTTTAGATAAGGACACCTATTCTCCTTCTCTGGTATTGAAACTGCACTCCGAGACCTGGAAGCTGAAACCTGGGATCTACATAAATCTTGAAAGTGTAGTTTAAAGCTATCTCTGGGTACTCCGACCAACCTTGTCACATACTCCGACTTCTCTAGAGTAGAGATCTGGAACTCCTGGAGTATTCTAGAGGTTAGGAGAAGCATCGTGTTCTCTCCTAATCTTCGTCCCAGACACATCCTTACTCCGTGTCCAAACGGGAGGACGGATATTGACATTTGACTCTTAAATCTGAAAATAAGTTTATCTTACAAACAGGATAAAAAATATGTGAAATTTTCATTTTGAAGACGACTTTTTAGAATAAAGAAGACGACAATATTAAAAACGATCATGATTATCATTCAGCAGAATGTATACAGAATATACAATTGTTTTGACAAAATTGGGATCGACATTTTTTTAAACTTACAGTAAAACCCACAAACTAAGATACTTTAAAGACGACCTGTAAAATTTTTAAATCCCTATACATACATTCAGAATTGAATATCTGTGTTTAGTGTTCCTGGTGCCAAGAATATTATTATTTGACTTGTTAGTTATCAAATCATTTATCAAGTGAAATGGGTCTGTTTACACTGCTGTGCATCATATTCGATTGGACTATATCGTCTTCCTGTTCCAGAGTTTTCTGGTTCTTACTATAGGACTCTTCATAGACAGAGTATCCAGTCGTCTTCAATGTCTCTGTTTTAAGATTAAATTAAGATTTGAAAATATTTGTTGTAAAGGAAATGAGTTTTTGCCGCAAACTTTAATTTTTCAATTCCTTTATTTAAATCCCGATGTCTTAGACCTTCGATTTTTCAAACTTTAAATTCTGCCCCATTAGGTTGAGTTTGTGTTTGTTGCTCAGTAACTTTGTATCAATTACTTACTCAGGATCAATATGACTGATTCTACTCCATCTCTCTGGTATGATTTTCTCCGGGTCTGGGAATATCTGAGGGTTTCGTCCCATCTGATAGGATGATATAGCTACTGGAGTACCTACCGGGAGAATATGGCTCCCAACACAGATCTCTTTACTGAGAATACAATATCGTTCATAAAAATATTTTGCTGCGCTTGTGTTCATCTAGCCCTGTCAGTCATATTACTTTGAGAATAGTTTAAAATGTTATAAATATATTTTATGAGTTTCATTAATTGCTTCCGACAAGTTTAATATCATAAGCTCATAATCAACTAATATGAAACTCACGCCCTTTTAAGGTTGAAATAATAACCGCAATATACCAAGGCAGGTTAAATAAATGCCGCATTACATTTTTGGTTTGTTACAATACTTTTTAATCTCAGAAAGACGACCTGTCACTTTCAAGAAATCCCTTTGGTTGGTGGGAAACACTGTATAAAATGTAATGCACATATGCCAATGCAAATGAATCAATAAATGATCGAAGTAATAAATCAATGAATCAATAAATGATCGAAGAAATGAATCAATGAATCATTAAATGATCGAAGAAATGAATCAATGAATCAATAAATGATCGAAGTAATGAATCAATGAATCAATAAATGATCGAAGTAATGAATCAATAAATCAATTAATCTATGAATCTATGAATTAATAAATCTATGAATCAATAAATCGACTAGTCGATGAATCTATGAATCAATGAATCTATGAATCTATGAATCAATGAATCTATGAATCTATGAATTAATGAATCAATGAATCAATTAATCTATGAATCTATGAATCAATAAATCTATGAATCTATGAATCAATAAATCAATTAATCTATGAATCTATGAATCTAATTCTATTTGTAAACAGCAGTTCTGAAATTTAACTTGGAAGATGGTTTCTATTTTTATGAAAACATCATCTCTTCTGAACTTCTGACCTGCTAACTTTCCGACCTACTGCAATATCCGACCTAGAACAGCTGTTCGGTTTTTATTATTTGAGGGTCAGGTTAGATTTTTGGGGCAGGCGCTGCAGCCAGGACAGGGTAGAGTCTGAGGCTCCAAGCGTTGAGGCAAGGAATAGCTAGGGAGCCGGGAGCTGTGACGACATGTCCAAATATAGTAGTTGAAAACTATAAGTTTTAAGTTTAGTAATGCGGATGTGCGTAGGTTGAAAAATACACCATCAATCATGATATTCCAGATATTTTTCTAAATTGTAAATCAAAACCTGATCATGTTTATTTAGATTCACTAACAGAAAACTTGGATGTTCCTTATTGAGACAATCTTTAACAGAAACAGACAACTTATCTAAATTGTGTCTATAGATCTAAATCTATAAAAAAAATCATCTTTAATTTTCAAATTAAAATTAGGCCTAAGATGATGTTAAGAAAACTCGGGGTAAAAAACGTAAAACAATATATTGATAAAGAATGATATTGTTCCTAAGAATTCTGGTGAGAAAGGGAGCTACTGGATGGATCCTGGAAACCTCTCTCATAAACCCTTTCATTAACGTGAGTTCGGATAAACTCTCAACAATAGAGTTCTCTGCTCCGCAAACCTTCTCAACCTCAGCTCGGACTCGGTCCTACAATTAGATAAATTGATGACAAGGTACAGGGTGTCCCAATAAACATGCAAAGTGAAACTTCTACCTACACGACCTTTTTTAATAAATATAATAAGGTTGCTATCATCCTAGAATTAGAAATGTTTTGTATCCGTCTCATATATCTACAAACTTTACCGAGATATTTCCTCATATTTTTACTTTTTAATCTTTAACCAGAAACCAGATTTAATGAATAGGAGAAGTAGTTAAACTGCGCGTAGGTTTAGTGGAACCATTTCTCTTTATATTTGCCGCTAACAAGTTGAACTCGCGTTACGTGGTTCAATTATTTCTCGGTATTAGTTTGCTAAATCGAAACTTTTTCTGGTAAATAATGTGAAAGGTATTTTCTGGTAAATAATGTGGAAGGTATTTTCTGGTAAATAATGTGGAAGGTATTTTCTGGTCAATAATGTGAAAGGTATTTTCTGGTCAATCGGATCGAGAAGGTTGAATTGGTTTTATTTACTAATTATAGTTTTTATTGTAAATTAAAATTAGTTGCTAAGAAAAGACCAGTTTACACCTTCAGAAAACTATCATAATCAGGAACAGGATGAATACATTTTGAAATATCATTCTCTGTGGTTCCCCCTGTTTTGCACCCGAGTGCAAAACTTAAAAGAAAATTTCCGGGATTCCCAAACCAAACCTGTCCCTGATACTCTGTGAAATTTGAGTTTCCATCGGGTTTCATCAACGAGTTTATAGTGTATGTGATGATGTACGCTAATCCTTTGCTAATTGTATAGGCCATACACTATACCAAGAGCGTACTGCATATTTGTTTATTATAATTTAATTCTGGCCTAACCTCAAGGTTATAATGCAAGGAAAGTTATTTCAGAGGTGTACCCATCTTGTGTACTGCAGTGTGCTGTCTCTGGGCGGTAATGTAAACACAAGACGGATGTCGAAGCCTGACATGGGATCCATCTTTCAAATAAAAAATCAATGAAATATTCTGATCATTGGAAACTATTATGTGAATTAACAAAATTATCAAAATTTAATGCTTTTAATCTCCTCGGATACTTAACGAACACTGATAAGAGTATATTCTAGTTTACAAATTCCGCCCAGAGATAACTGGTTTCAATATGTACGCAGAGTATACGCAACTACAATTAACTTGAATTATAACCTTGCCTAACCTTTACTATATCAATATTAGCAGTACAGCTAACTAAGCACAAATGTACAGCTAACTGAGCAGAAATGTACAGCTAACTGATCCACAAATGATGCTCATGTATACTCTTGTTAACCATTAATTTCAAAACCTCTATAAAATGTCGTCTTATACTGGAATCTCCTGTCGGAGACAGCCAAACCAAATTTTCAGCCCGCAAATTCCAAGTAAAACTTATACACTAATCTAATTAGATTGTTAGCAACATATTTCTCTAAAGAAATTTGTCAATAAATTAATGCTAAAATCGATTATTTCGTTTACATTATTTTATTGAATTTCTTATTTTCTTTGAATTTATTCGTAGATTTCTTCAAATTTCGTCTTTTCAATAATAATTCTAGAAAATCTGCAGAAAATCTTTGTGAATAATGAGAAACCAGAATAATAGAAACTAATAATTAAACAAGATTTTATGTCGTCGTTATTTAATAATTATAAAAACTAATTCTGAAAACGTATCCACACCCAAAGTAGGAGTTTTAAACGAAGAATTTGCGCTCAAACTCAGGATTTACAGATCTTTAAAAAGTTTAATATGTCTCAAATGAATCCGAAAAAAGTTTTCCACAACACTGCATACTCAGTTCAACTACCTTTCATAGCGGTCTGTCCCTTTAAAGGGGGTGAGGACACATAGAATTGATCCCAAGAACCCCTTAGGGCGGGAGGGCGGTAAAGAATTGTCCCTAGAAACCTCCTAAAAGATGGGGGGGGGGGGGAGTTTCATAATTTTGTTAAGTTCTGACTCCGAACCTGTACAGTAGGATTATCTCCTAGGTTGTATAACATCCAGGATACATTCAGACCGGTTGTATCTACTCCTCCTAGCAACAAATCACAGATAAACGTCTCAACTTTCTCCGCACTCATGCCGGACCTAAGATACAAAATGTAAACAAGACGCCAGATTTAAGCTAATTATTAGTATCTATAAAGTAAAAATTTGATAACAACTGCAACTGTAAATTTGTTTCTTTCTTTGACCTATCATTAAATAAGTCCTAAAAAGACCATATTATAAGGTACAAGATTTAAATCAACCATGATATAATCATTTTTCAAGGGTTTCAGGTCGTCTTTACAGTCTTATCTTTTGTGGATAATCCTGCTTACTCTGACCACTCCATATTATGTAGCAGATACTGTATTAAAATACAGTAGTTTAGTAGCTAAACCACTATTCTATATATCTATATATATAGAAAGTTGTAAACTCTGTTTGTCTGTTTGTTTGTTTGTCCTATCATAACTCAGGTACCCGTTGATATTTTGCCTTAAATTTTGATAGGGGAACTCGGGAGAACCACGGGAATGTTTTTAGCTTGGTTTAAGGATTCTAAATTGTAATTTACGACAAAGCGCGGGTAAACGGCGGGCCTAACTATGATTATTACTATATCTATTATCTAAAAGTGTTTCGTCCTATTGGACTCATCAGTATGGCTGAATTTTTATTAGTTTTTGATTTTATATATTTGTTATATATGTATATATATAACCTGAGTAGTTGAGTAGCTAAACCACTATCTTGAGACTCCTGGTTGAGTTGGCATCTCCTGATGGATTCCTTCAGAACCTTCATGATCCCGTCCATGTGGAGACAAAACTTGTTCCAGACAGGGGACTTACTTAACACATTTAGAAAATTTAAATAGAATTTTTTGATTTTTTATATTTTCTCTAGAGTTGAAAATGAACCTTTCAAACTGTGCTTGAGGGTCCACCATGAGCATTGCTGTGGTTTCAAAAACTCCCTGTCCGTCCTTCATTATCTGCTCCGCTATCTCATGAGATGAATTCTCTTCACATTCTCCAACAAATAGATCCATCATGATCCGTACTAAACACCTGCAGATCAAACACTGGATTATTGATTAGACTTTGGATTAAACATTGGATTAAACATTGGATTAAACATTGGATTACGCAATGGATTAATCAGTGGAATAAACATTGGATTAAACATTGGATTAAACATTGGATTAAACATTGGATTGCGCAATGGATCAGTGGATCAGTGGATCAGTGGATTAAACATTGGATTAAAAATTGGATTAAACATTGGATTAAACATCTGATTAAACGTTTAACTAATCAGTATTGACCTGTATATATCAGTCTGGAATTGTGTTGAGTTTATCCTCCAGGTAGAGATTAGTTCCTCTGTGTACTTTTCTATTGTTGGATTCATCTTATCTAAAGCTGATTTCTTTAGAAGTAAAGGATTCAGCTTCTTTCGGGCCTAGGCATTGGATATTTTGGTAAACAACGTTTAATAAATTTATTTAGTAATCGGTTGTCGTAAGGAACTTAGGAGAATAAGAACTTAAAGACTTGATAGTTTAGAGGTAAAAACCAGAATATAGTGATAAGGCAAAGAGAAAACTATGACATCTTGAAACCAAGATCTAGGATCTAGAACTAAGGAATTATTAAACCTGGAAACCAATAACTATGATCATTAACTAAGGAATTATTAAACCTTAAAACTAGGAACTATGATCTTGAACTAAGGAATTATAAAACCTGGAAACCAATAACTATAATCTTGAACTAAGGAATTATTAAACCTGGAAACCAATAACTATGATCTTGAACTAAGGAATTATAAAACCTGGAAACTAATAACTATGATCTTGAACTAAGGAATTATAAAACCTGGAAACTAGGAACTATGATCTTGAACTAAGGAATTATAAAACTTGGAAACTAGGAACTATGATCTTGAACTAAGGAATTATAAAACCTGGAAACCAGGAACTATATATTCTGGAAAACAGGAACTGTACAACCTGGAAACCAGGAACCATATATTCTAGAAACCAGTGTGTACAACCTGGAAACCAGGTATTATATATTCTGGAAACTTGGAACTGTATAACCTGAAAACCAGGAACTATATAGCCTGGAAACCAGGAACTATATAACCTGGAAACTTGGAACTGTATAACCCGGAAACCAGGAACTATATAGCCTGGAAACCAGGAACTTTTTATTCTAGAAACCAGGAACTGTACATCCTGGAAACCAGGAACTATATATTCTGGAAAACAAAAACTGTATAACCTAGAAAGAAGGAACTGTATCTACCTGCCACCATTCTTCTCCGTCTAGAAACATAAGTCCTCTCTGGACTCCGTTCTCCCGAGCATGGATTGTCCAGGCCTCAGGAATAAAGGTCTTGGGATACTTCTCCTCCCTGCAGAGCAGTTCTCTGGTCATCTTGGGACAGGAGATAAATACAACTCCTAGGTTGGGTAACCTAGAATATAGGAGATAAATACAACTCCTAGGTTGGGTAACCTAGAATACAGTAGATAAATACAACTCCTAGGTTGGGTAACCTAAAATACAGGAGATATATACAACTCCTAGGTTGGGCAACCTAAAATACAGGAGAGAAATACAACTCCTAGAATGGGTAAACTAGAATACAGGAGATAAATACAACTCCTAGGTTGTGTAACCTACAATATAGGAGATAAATACAACTCCTAGATTGGGCAACCTAAAATACAGGAGATAAATACAACTCCTAGGTTGGGTAAACTAGAATATAGGAGATAAATACAACTCCTAAGTTGGGTAAACTAGAATACAGGAGATAAATACAACTCCTAGGTTGGGTAACCTACAATATAGGAGATAAATACAACTCCTAGGTTGGGTAGCCTAGAATAAAGGAGATAAATACAACTCCTAGGTTGGATAGCTTAGAATAAAGGAGATAAATACAACTCCTAGGTTGGGTAACCTAGAATACAGGAGATATATACAACTCCTAGATTGGGCAACCTAAAATACAGGAGAGAAATACAACTCCTAGAATGGGTAAACTAGAATACAGGAGATATATATAACTCCTAGGTTGGGTAAACTAGATTAAAGGAGATAAATACAACTCCTAGATTGGGCAACCTAAAATACAGGAGATAAATACAACTCATAGGTTGGGTAAACTAGAATACATGAGATATATACAACTCCTAGGTTGGGTAAACTAGAATAAAGGAGATGAATACAACTCCAAGGTTGGGTAACCTAGAATACAGAAGATAAATTGAACTAGGTAAACTATAACATGGAGATGCATACGACTCCTTGGTAATCAAAAATTAATAAGATTCAATTTCTTGATAACCTTATATACAAGAGATAGCTACAATTTCTTGATAAACTTATATAAAAGAGATAGATACAATTTCTTAATAACCTAATATACAAGAGATAGATACAATTTCTTGATAACCTTATATACAAGAGATAGATACAATTTCTTGATAACCTTGTATACAAGAGAAAGATACAATTTCTTGATAACCTTATATACAAGAGATAAATTCAATTTCTTGATAACCTTATATACAAGAGATAAATACAATTGCTGGGTAACCTAGAATACAAGAGATAAATACAATTGCTGGGTAACCTAGAATACAAGAGATAAATACAATTGCTGGGTAACCTAGAATACATGTACAATTAATCAAAAATATCCTTAAAGGGGCTGTCGTTGGGGTTTTAAGTAACCCTTCATGGAGATGGCAGATCCGATTCAACTTTTTAAGCTTTTTCTTGTTAAAACTACACGAGATATCCACTTTTTCCTCTTTAAAAATTGGTTATTTTTAATTTGGGTTTCTCCCTACAGTGACTTGAGAAATGTTGTGTAAGAAACAATGGATGGAATTGTCAGAAATAAACACTTTTCAAGGTAAAAAAATTATTATATTTTCTTTACCATTGATCAGATAAAGGTTTACAGGGTGCAATAGTAAATTGGGAATTGCTCCTTATTTAAAGGAAGATTACTAAAAATGATAATGTCAGTCCTTTTAATAATATAAACACTAGAAACAGTAGAAACAGTTAAACAATCTTAATTTAGGGAATTCTTAAGTATTTTCTCTTTGTTTGGTGAAACTAAATTTAAGTTGTGTTGTACCAACAAAATATGAGACTTCATTGAAGACCTAAAACTTTTTATAAATTACAATCTGATATTTGTTTTTGATATCCTGCTTCAAATACAAAATTAAGTCTTTTCATGGAATATGCTAAATGATTTGGCAAAGAAAAAAATCCGTTTGTGACTGTAGAGAATCTCGAATGATAAAATGATAAAGAAATTAAGTTTTTCTTTCAAACCCTGATTTTGTAATCCCTGAATCTTTGCAACCCGAGGTTGCAGACCTTTGCTATTTCAAACCATACATCTCGTTATATCATATAGGCTAAGTTTGAAATATTAAAGGTTTACACCATCAGGTTGCAAAGATATAGAGTTTAGAAAATTTGAGTTTGAGGCAAAAACTCGATTCCTTCCCTTGCAATCTTTATGAGTAACTATTTCTGGGAAAGTCGTCGTTATAGGTTGAATAAATCTTAACAATCACTTGAATAAAGAATCACTTCCTTACTTGAATATTGGTCCGAGCTTCTTATGCCAGTCATAGCTTGCTCGATGTAAACCATCCTCTGCAGCAGCATCTTGATAGGCTTCAGGGTTCAATACATCAGGAATTGTTGATATTTTTCTCAAACCAAGAGATTTTAACATCCGTCCTCTTAGTAGTTTAGACACCACGGAGCTAAACCTACCCATGTTAAATCCTAATCACGACTGAAGAAATGTTATCTCTCTCCTTGTATTATATATATTTATGGGTCTGGAGCTGGGCTTTCACCTGGGTATATTCAAACTTAACCTTGTATTGCTGGGGGAGGGAGGGAGGGGGGAGGGATCCAACAGGTTAGAACCCTGACAAGGGGAACAGATTAAAGGGTTGGATAATAGGTTAATTATTTAATATCATCAGAGACTGCGTCAGTGAATAAGTTAAAGGAGACGCTTTTATGCGTAATTATGTGTCTTGCTAAATTGGTTTATTATGTACTAGCTGATGAGCCCGGCGTTGCCCGTGGAAAAAAATGTGAAAAAAAAATTTTTGAGAAAAAAAAATTATTTTTGAAAAAAAATTTGACTTTTTTAGCTTATAACACCCCCGGCTACCCATGAGTGTTCACAAAAAAATTTAAGTCCAATCGGTCCAGCCGTTTGGCCGACTATGGGCAACATATATATATATATATATGTAAGAATGTCTTGTTTTATTATATAAATATTTATATAATAAAACAAGACATTCGTATATATATACATGTTGCGTTTTTTATTTTTCATTTATTTTTCAAAAAAAAAATTCCACGGGCAACGCGGGGCCCTTCAGCTAGTTGCACATATTGTTCAGATATAAATTTGTTTTAACTCCAGTCTGGGAAACCATATGATACTTTTTTGGCCGCGCGCTGGGATCTGGACCGAGTAAAACTGTGGCTACAATTATTTTTTTATGCAATGGTATTTTGCTTCGAAAATAGTAAATAAATGGTTTTATTTTACGGTTTGACAATGAGAGAAACAATTATAAAGATGTAGGAAACCCTAAATGTAAGGAAAAGGACTGATTATGTTCCTTACTGTCGTCTCTGAAATCCCATCCTGTATGGGTAACCCTTATTTTTTTTAAAGTTTTCTTATTAGCAGGTGTACGAAGGGAAGAGGGGGGAGGGGAGGGGAGGCGAATTCCACTCCAGAAATGGAATTTAAAAATCAAATTGTGACGTATATCAAAATTTTCCATTCCATCCAACCCCCAACCCCCGGCCCCCCCTTGTACCTTATACCCCTCTACTAAGGTTACAACCTAGGAGAAGAATAGTTTGCGGTCAAACTCATTCTCTGCTGTCAGTCAGGATAATACGGTATTTGAGAAATAGAGAAATGAAGACCACGTGTCTGCTCAGAGAAGGAACGCATTAAAGGGACCGTCAACATTATTTCTAATAGACTGACAAATAAAATTAGCCTGCTTACTTCCATTGAACATTGCTATAAAGCCTTTGTCACAAACTCTGATTTTCTAAACCCTATTTACTTTCAACCCAATGTCGTACACCTTAATTTTAAAAGTAGATGTTAGTTCCACATTTATTGAAAATATATTTCGGTCTGGGTTGAACCTCGTCAGTTCTAACGATATAATAACCATCAAAATCGATAAAAAAAAATATAAAAAAATGTTTGTTAAAAATTACAAGAAAATAAACAAACAAAAAAGATTATTCAAAATAAAAATTTGGGCTGTCAAATGGACATAAGGGAAAGGAACTCAGATTATCAGATGGAAAAAAGATAATTTTGAAATATTCACTTTTAAAAAATTTCAAACTTTGAAATAAAAAAATCTAGTTTGAAATAACATCAGGTTGCAAAAATAAAGGTTGAACATAATTTCGGATTTTATCTTGTTTTTGGTCCGAAGAATGATATTAATTCCTCTTGTGATCTCGCATGGTCAAACTTTCCCTCAATTTTAAAAGTTGCCACAATGGATATCAAGATCAAGCTTTGAAGATTAGCGCATAAAAGTTTCAACTTTAGAAAATATTTAATTTTAAACTTTTCTCCGTCCACTAGTGGGTTTCTAGGCAGAGAATGGCTCCTATAGCCAGGAAGGAAAGGTTGGGAGTTGGTGAGGAAGGAAAGGTTGGGAGTTGGCGAGGGATGAAAGGTTGGGAGTTGGTGAAGGAGGAAAGGTTGGGAGTTGGTGAGGAAGGGATGNNGGGGGGGGAGAGTTGCGTAAGACAGCTTCAAACAATTTTTCTTCAATTATTCAATTTATTCAAACAAAATAACTATTTTGAATAGATTCAATAACTTCTTGTTAAAAAGTAGAAGTTGATTTGGAACCGTGGCAAGAATCAAAGAGAAATTTTCAATATATCAATATCAATAAAACCTTTGTAATTTGACAAGAAAAAAATCTATTCACACATTTAGTCACGCAAAATATCAAATCATTTCTTCCGATTTTTATCAGTTTTTCCCCGAAGCTTTCATATGCACTCATAAAATATTAATAAGCGAACTATAATTCGCCCAGAATGAAGAAAATGTCAAATTTATGTTTAAATTTTAAGCATAAGTATGAGAAAAAAGTTTATGAAGATAAAGATAGCTGTTCTATGATTTAAAACATAGATTTACTTCAGTTAAACTTTAGAATGTTCAGCCACTACTACTAGAATGTACAGCCACTACTAATAGAATGTACAGCTACTACTGTTAGAATTTACAGCAACTAATAGAATGTAGACCTACTACTACAAGAATGATCAGCTACTACTACTAGAATGTACAGCTACTGCTGCGAGAATGTACAGCCACTACTACTAGAATGTTCAACTACTACTGCTAGAATTTACAGCTACTATTACTAGAATGTACAGCTACTACTGTTAGAATGTACAGCTACTACTGCTAGATTGTACAGCTACTACTGCTAGAATGTACAGCTACTACTTCTAGAATGTACAGCTACCACTGCTAGAATGTACAGCTACCACTTCTAGAATGTACAGCTACCACTGCTAGAATGTACAGCTACTACTGCTAGAATGCACAGCTACTACTGCTAGAATGTACAGCTTCTACTGCTAGAATGCACAGGAACTACTCCTAGAATGTACAGCTACTACTGCTAGAATGTACAGCAACTACTGCTAGAATGTACAGCTACTACTGCTAGAATGTACAGCTAATACTACTAGAATGTACAGCTACCACTGCTAGAATGCACAGCTACTACTGCTAGAATGTACAGGTTCTACTGCTAGAATGCACAGGAACTACTCCTAGAATGTACAGCTACTACTGCTAACTGCTAGAATGTACAGGAACTACTTCTAGAATGTACAGCTACTACTGCTAGAATGTACAGCTACTACTGCTAGAATGCACAGCTACTACTAGTAGAATGTACAGCTACTACTGCTAGAATGTACAGCTAATACTGCTAGAATGCACAGCTACTACTACTAGAATGTACAGCTACTACTGCTAGAATGCACAGCTACTACTGCTAGAATGTACAACTACTACTAGAATGTACAGCTACTACTGCTAGAATGTGCAACAACTACTGCTAGAATGTACAGGAACTATTACTAGAATGAACAGCTACTGTTGCTAGAATGTACAGCTACTGTTGCTAGAATGTATACAACTCATACTAGAATGTACATCTACTATTGCTAGAATGTACAGCTACTACTGCTAGAATGTGCAACAACTACTGCTAGAATGTACAGCTACTACTAGAATGTACAGCTACTACTGCTAGAATGTACAAATACTACTGCTAGAATGTTCAAGAACTACTCCTAGAATGTACAGGAACTACTCCTAGAATGTACAGCTAATACTGTTAGAATGTACAGCTACTGATGCTAGAATGTACAGCTACTACTACTAGAATGTGCAGCTACTACTGCTAGAATGTATAGCTAATACTACTAGAATGTACAGCTACTACTGCTAGAATTTACAGCTACTACTGCTTGAATGCACAGCTACTACTGCTAGAATGTACAGCTACTACTGCTAGAATGTACAGCTACTACTGCTGGAATGTACAGCTACTACGACTAGAATTTACAACTACTGCTAGAATGTACAGCTACTACTCTAGAATGTACAGCTACTACTGCTGGAATGTACAGCTACTACTGCTAGAATGTAAAGCTACTACTGCTAGAATGTACATCTACTGCTAGAATGTACAGCTACTGCTAGAATGTACAGCTACTACTACTGGAATGTACAGCTACTACTGCTAGAATGTACATTTACTACTGCTAGAGTGTACAGCTACTACTGCTAAAATGTACAGCTACTACTTCTAGACTGTACAGCTACTACTGCTAGAATGTACAGCTACTACTACGAGAATGTACAGCTACTACTGCTAGAATGTACAGCTACTACTACTAGAATCTACTACTGCTAGAATGTACAGCTACTGCTAGAATGTACAGCTACTACTGCTAGAATGTACAGCTACTACTGCTAGAATGTTCAGCTTCTACTGCTAGAATGTTCAGCTACTGCTAGAATGTACAGGTACTACTGCTAGAATGTTCAACTACTACTGCTAGAATGTACAGCTAGTGCTAGAATGAACAGCTACTACTAGAATGTACAGCTACTACTGCTAGAATGTACAGCTACTACTGTTAGAATGTACAGCTACTACTGATAGAATGTATAGCTACTACTGCTGGAATGTACAGCTACTGCTAGAATGTACAGCTACTACTGCTAGAATGTACAGCTACTGCTAGAATGTACAGCTACTACTGCTAGAATGTACAGCTAGTGCTAGAATGTACAGCTACTACTAGAATGTATAGCTACTGCTAGAATGTACAGCTACTGCTAGAATGTTCAGCTTCTACTGCTAGAATGTACAGCTACTACTGCTAGAATGTACAGCTACTACTACTAAAATGTACAGCTACTACTACTAGAATGTACAGCTACTACTGCTAGAATGTACAGCTACTACTGCTAGAATGTAGAGCTACTACTGCTAGAATGTACAACCACTACTACTAGAATGTACAGCTACTACTACTAGAATGTACAGCTACTACTGCAAGAATGTACAGCCTACTGGTTCAGGGTGTGGTGGAATAAACAGCTATTCCTGTGATTTAAATTGTCCGTCGTTTAATGACAGAATGTGCGTTAAGAACTTTTTCTGCAGCGTGCATATTTGT